AGACGGGCCGTGCGTGGGGTATCACACAGGGAGACGGGCCGTGCGTGGGGTACCATATAGCTAACAGGACAGGTAGGTAGGCAGTATAGAACAGAAGAAAGGGATCAGCGCTCTCTATCTATACAAGATACAACAGAAACAATAATAAATAAGTAAAAAGTGGCAGCATACCTAAGTAGGGCTCCCTCACAGGCCTTACAACAGAAATGGTACAGAAAAAAAAAAAAAGGAAGGCAGCGCCACTACAAACCACATAAATTAAAAGAGCACAGAATAGGCAGACTAGAATGCAATATATATGATAGATAATAAGCAAATAGAAGTCCAGAATAAATAGTCTGACTGGTAGATGAATCAAACAAGAGATATATCTTTGTAGAGGTGAATACAGTCTTTTGTAGTGGGGGATTCTTCAGAGTGGTGTAGATGCGTCTTTGTACATCATATGAAATGAGAAAATAACTGATGGTATAGTATGTCCCGAAAGGGGTAGAAGCAATAAAAGAGTATATGGTCCTACTCACGTTTTCAAGAGCTATGGACTTAGCTCTAGTGTTGATAACGTACAGTAGTATAATCCCCACTTATGGGATACGTGAGGTCTTGATTAGGGAACCATATGTGGAAATGAAAGCGGGAACAGCAATAGTGCTCAAAGTATAAAATGCCAGAGGTGATCAGCTGATCTCCACTTGATAAAGCCTAAGGGCGAAACGCGTTGTGTTTTTTTTAAACTATGTTGTTTTAAAGAAAGGTATTTGGGCCACTTTCTTATTGTGAGTTAGCCATCTTACTTTTTATTACTATTATCATTTTACTTTTTTACTACTACCATCCTTTTTTTCGGCACCAGAAGTGTTTTTACTTTCCAGTGAGGAAATTACTCCCAAGAATCCTAGGTGGGGATTATACCACTCAAGCTGTATTCATTGAACAGTTAGTTTGTTCAACTAAATGTGAGTATCACTTGTTTTTTTATCTTCTCACCTCTGGCATTTTATACTTTGAGCACTATTGCTGTTCCCGCTTTCATTTCCACATATGGTTCCCTAATCAAGAAAGAATACTAAGACCTCACGTATCCCATAAGTGGGGATTATACCACTGTGCGTTATCAACACTAGAGCTAAGTCCATAGCTCTTGAAAACGTGAGTAGGACCATATACTCTTTTATTGCTTCTACCCTCTTCGGGACATACTATACCATCAGTTGTTATTTTCTCATTTCATGTGATGTACAAAGACGCATCTACACCACTCTGAAGATTCCCCCACTACAAAAGACTGGATTCATCTATACAAAGATATACCTCGTTGTTTGATTCATCTACCAGGTTGGTAGGCAGTGCATGGGATATCTCGCAGCTGACTGGACAGGTAGGTAGGCAGTGCATGGGATATCTCGCAGCTGACTGGACAGGGAGGTAGGCAGTGCATGGGGTATCACACAGGGAGGTAGGCAGTGTATGGGGTATCACACAGGGAGGTAGGCAGTGCATGGGGTATCACACAGCTCGCTGCACAGGGATTTTAGTATGTTGGAAACGTGTGTGTGTGTGTGTGTGACTAAAGGCATGATTGCATACAATGATTTCAGGATGGTCAGACAGCTCCAATGGCTCTTCTACAACAAGAACTGCATTGTGGGTTTGCCAGCATCCAGGGAGGAGTAGTATCTGGAGGTTTGTCTTTTGGCCACCCTGTCATACAGTCCGTATGGACCAGAGGGAGATTTGTGCACTCATGTCTGGATAAATAACGCATGGTTGTGATGGTACAAAGCCACAGGCAGTAATGCATGGAGTAATGCACAGTGAAGCTTGTAATGCAGAGAGATGCTTGACATGCCACAGGTTATAAAGCAAGCACGTGTGTGACATGTAATGGCCATTAATGCATTTAGTAGTTTAAGACCACTAACAGTAATTTATCTGTGCTTATAATTCTTGGGTATGCATGTACACAGCCTGTAGTGGTGTATTAGGGTGATTGTGATGATATGGGCAGTAATGCATTGCGGTGGTTATAATACCACTAGTATTAATATATAGTGATTGCACATGCAGTGATACACAGGGATATTTGTGATATACAGTAAAGCATTGCGGTGGTTATAATACCACTAGTAATAATATATAGTGATTGCACATGCAGTGATACACAGGGATATTTGTGATATACAGTAATGCATTGCGGTGGTTATAATACCACTAGTAATAATATATAGTGATTGCACATGCAGTGATACACAGGGATATTTGTGATATACAGTAATGCATTGCGGTGGTTATAATACCACTAGTAATAATATATAGTGATTGCACATGCCGTGATACACAGGGATATTTGTGATATACAGTAATGCATTGCGGTGGTTATAATACCACTAGTAATAATATATAGTGATTGCACATGCAGTGATACACAGGGATGTTTGTGATATACAGTAATGCATTGCGGTGGTTATAATACCACTAGTAATAATATATAGTGATTGCACATGCAGTGATACACAGGGATATTTGTGATATACAGTAATGCATTGCGGTGGTTATAATACCACTAGTATTAATATATAGTGGTTGCACATGCAGTCATACACAGGGATATTTGTGATATACAGTAATGCATTGCGGTGGTTATAATACCACTAGTAATAATATATAGTGGTTGCACATGCAGTGATACACAGGGATATTTGTGATATACAGTAATGCATTGCGGTGGTTATAATACCACTAGTAATAATATATAGTGGTTGCACATGCAGTGATACCCGGGTGGTATTTGTTATATACAGTAATGCATTGCGATGGTTATAATACCACTAGTAATAATATATAGTGATTGCACATGCAGTGATACACAGGGATATTTGTGATATACAGTAATGCATTGCGATGGTTATAATACCACTAGTAATAATATATAGTGGTTGCACATGCAGTGATACACAGGGATATTTGTGATATACAGTAATGCATTGCGGTGGTTATAATACCACCAGTAATAATATATAGTGGTTGCACATGCAGTGATACACAGGGATATTTGTGATATACAGTAATGCATTGCGGTGGTTATAATACCACTAGTAATAATATATAGTGATTGCACATGCAGTGATACACAGGGATATTTGTGATATACAGTAATGCATTGCGGTGGTTATAATACCACTAGTAATAATATATAGTGATTGCACATGCAGTGATACACAGGGATGTTTGTGATATACAGTAATGCATTGCGGTGGTTATAATACCACTAGTAATAATATATAGTGATTGCACATGCAGTGATACACAGGGATGTTTGTGATATACAGTAATGCATTGCGATGGTTATAATACCACTAGTAATAATATATAGTGATTGCACATGCAGTGATACACAGGGATATTTGTGATATACAGTAATGCATTGCGGTGGTTATAATACCACTAGTAATAATATATAGTGATTGCACATGCAGTGATACACAGGGATGTTTGTGATATACAGTAATGCATTGCGGTGGTTATAATACCACTAGTAATAATATATAGTGATTGCACATGCAGTGATACACAGGGATATTTGTTATATACAGTAATGCATTGCGATGGTTATAATACCACTAGTAATAATATATAGTGATTGCACATGCAGTGATACACAGGGATATTTGTGATATACAGTAATGCATTGCGGTGGTTATAATACCACTAGTAATAATATATAGTGATTGCACATGCAGTGATACACAGGGATATTTGTGATATACAGTAATGCATTGCGGTGGTTATAATACCACTAGTAATAATATATAGTGATTGCACATGCAGTGATACAGGGATATTTGTGATATACAGTATGCATTGCGGTGGTTATAATACCACTAGTAATAATATATAGTGATTGCACATGCGGTGACACAGGGATGTTTGTGATATACAGTAGTACATTGCGGGATTATAATGCCACTAGTAATAATATATAGTGATTGCACATGCAGTGATACACAGGGATATTTGTGATATACAGTAATGCATTGCGGTGGTTATAATACCACTAGTATTAATATATAGTGAGTGCACATGCAGTGATATACAGTAATGCATTGCGGTGGTTATAATACCACTAGTAATAATATATAGTGATTGCACATGCAGTGATACACAGGGATATTTGTGATATACAGTAATGCATTGCGGTGGTTATAATACCACTAGTAATAATATATAGTGGTTGCACATGCAGTGATACACAGGGATATTTGTGATATACAATGCATTATGTGGTTATAATACTATAGTATTAATATATAGTGAGTGCACATGCAGTGATACACAGGATATTTGTGATATACAGTAATGCATTGCGGTGGTTATAATACCACTAGTAATAATATATAGTGATTGCACATGCAGTGATACACAGGGATATTTGTTATATACAGTAATGCATTGCGATGGTTATAATACCACTAGTAATAATATATAGTGATTGCACATGCAGTGATACACAGGGATGTTTGTGATATACAGTAATGCATTGCGGTGGTTATAATACCACTAGTAATAATATATAGTGATTGCACATGCAGTGATACACAGGGATATTTGTTATATACAGTAATGCATTGCGATGGTTATAATACCACTAGTAATAATATATAGTGATTGCACATGCAGTGATACACAGGGATATTTGTGATATACAGTAATGCATTGCGGTGGTTATAATACCACTAGTAATAATATATAGTGATTGCACATGCAGTGATACACAGGGATGTTTGTGATATACAGTAATGCATTGCGGTGGTTATAATACCACCAGTAATAATATATAGTGATTGCACATGCCGTGATACACAGGGATATTTGTGATTATACAGTAATGCATTGCGGTGGTTATAATACCACTAGTATTAATATATAGTGAGTGCACATGCAGTGATATACAGTAATGCATTGCGGTGGTTATAATACCACTAGTAATAATATATAGTGATTGCACATGCAGTGATACACAGGGATATTTGTGATATACAGTAATGCATTGCGGTGGTTATAATACCACTAGTATTAATATATAGTGGTTGCACATGCAGTGATACACATGGATATTTGTGATATACAGTAATGCATTGCGGTGGTTATAATACCACTAGTATTAATATATAGTGAGTGCACATGCAGTGATACACAGGGATATTTGTGATATACAGTAATGCATTGCGATGGTTATAATACCACTAGTAATAATATATAGTGATTGCACATGCAGTGATACACAGGGATATTTGTGATATACAGTAATGCATTGCGATGGTTATAATACCACTAGTAATAATATATAGTGATTGCACATGCAGTGATACACAGGGATATTTGTGATATACAGTAATGCATTGCGGTGGTTATAATACCACTAGTAATAATATATAGTGGTTGCACATGCAGTGATACCCGGGTGGTATTTGTTATATACAGTAATGCATTGCGGTGGTTATAATACCACTAGTAATAATATATAGTGATTGCACATGCAGTGATACCTGGGTGGTATTTGTTATATACAGTAATGCATTGCGGTGGTTATAATACCACTAGTAATAATATATAGTGATTGCACATGCAGTGATACACAGGGATATTTGTGATATACAGTAATGCATTGCGGTGGTTATAATACCTCCAGTAATAATATATAGTGATTACACATGCAGTGATACACAGGGATATTTGTGATATACAGTAATGCATTGCGGTGGTTATAATACCACTAGTAATAATATATAGTGATTGCACATGCAGTGATACACAGGGATGTTTGTGATATACAGTAATGCATTGCGGTGGTTATAATACCACTAGTAATAATATATAGTGGTTGCACATGCAGTGATACACAGGGATGTTTGTGATATACAGTAATGCATTGCGGTGGTTATAATACCACCAGTAATAATATATAGTGGTTGCACATGCAGTGATACACAGGGATATTTGTGATATACAGTAATGCATTGCGGTGGTTATAATACCACTAGTATTAATATATAGTGATTGCACATGCCGTGATACACAGGGATGTTTGTGATATACAGTAATGCATTGCGGTGGTTATAATACCACTAGTAATAATATATAGTGATTGCACATGCAGTGATACACAGGGATGTTTGTGATATACAGTAATGCATTGCGGTGGTTATAATACCACTAGTAATAATATATAGTGGTTGCACATGCAGTGATACACAGGGATATTTGTGATATACAGTAATGCATTGCGGTGGTTATAATACCACTAGTATTAATATATAGTGATTGCACATGCCGTGATACACAGGGATGTTTGTGATATACAGTAATGCATTGCGGTGGTTATAATACCACTAGTATAATATATAGTGATTGCACATGCAGTGATACACAGGGATATTTGTGATATACAGTAATGCATTGCGGTGGTTATAATACCACTAGTAATAATATATAGTGAGTTGCACATGCAGTGATACACAGGGATATTTGTGATATACAGTAATGCATTGCGGTGGTTATAATACCACTAGTATTAAGATATAGTGATTGCACATGCAGTGATACACAGGGATATTTGTGATATACAGTAATGCATTGCGGTGGTTATAATACCACTAGTATTAATATATAGTGATTGCACATGCAGTGATACACAGGGATATTTGTGATATACAGTAATGCATTGCGGTGGTTATAATACCACTAGTAATAATATATAGTGATTGCACATGCAGTGATACACAGGGATATTTGTGATATACAGTAATGCATTGCGGTGGTTATAATACCACTAGTATTAATATATAGTGGTTGCACATGCAGTGATACACAGGGATATTTGTGATATACAGTAATGCATTGCGGTGGTTATAATACCACTAGTATTAATATATAGTGATTGCACATGCAGTGATACACAGGGATATTTGTGATATACAGTAATGCATTGCGATGGTTATAATACCACTAGTATTAATATATAGTGATTGCACATGCAGTGATACACAGGGATATTTGTGATATACAGTAATGCATTGCGATGGTTATAATACCACTAGTAATAATATATAGTGATTGCGCATGCAGTGATACACAGGGATATTTGTGATATACAGTAATGCATTGTGGTGGTTATAATACCACTAGTAATAATATATAGTGATTGCACATGCAGTGATACACAGGGATATTTGTGATATACAGTAATGCATTGCGATGGTTATAATACCACTAGTAATAATATATAGTGATTGCACATGCAGTGATACACAGGGATATTTGTGATATACAGTAATGCATTGCGGTGGTTATAATACCACTAGTAATAATATATAGTGGTTGCACATGCAGTGATACACAGGGATATTTGTGATATACAGTAATGCATTGCGGTGGTTATAATACCACTAGTAATAATATATAGTGATTGCACATGCAGTGATACCTGGGTGGTATTTGTTATATACAGTAATGCATTGCAGTGGTTATAATACCAGTAGTAATAATATATAGTGGTTGCACATGCAGTGATACACAGGGATGTTTGTGATATACAGTAATGCATTGCGGTGGTTATAGTGACCAGCAGTAACGTCTGCATATAGTGATGTTCTTGATGTTACAGGCATTGCTAGTGATGTCATCACTGTTAAAGGATATTGATGCTACTAATGTATACTTATAATGTCACAGATAAGTATGTGCACACATCTGTGCTTTTGTTGACAATGGTGGATAAGTGCTGAGTTGCTTATGTGCTTATAGTGCGTTTGTGAGATAGAGGCTTGTTTTACTGCGTGCTTGTGCACAGTCTATTTTGATATCCGAGAGCAGAATTTATAGCTGAATCGGCAGAATTCAGAAATGTTTGATGTTTAAGAACATAATTTACAAATATAAATGCCTTGTTGAAGGTTAGATTTTCACTGGAGATCACTGATATGCCCGTGATGTCAGGGATATGCTTAATATAATAAACGTTACAAAGGTAGCCAGGCCATGTCCAAAAGTGTTAATGATAAAAAGGGATTTATAGACAACACCAACTGAGATTGCTTTGCTGTCATGCAAGTGATATCAGTGTACATTGTATCTATTTAAGTTGTAAACTGTATTTCGTTACTGAAAATAAAAATAAAATGTGCCTGTGTTATGTGATTACTCACCTTGCTTTATGTCAGACTTATTATTTTTAATTACATTTTCCCAGCACTGTAAAATTTGTAAATAAAACTGCAGTTGATAATGACAAACAAATGTTACGGCCCAGGCTTGGAATATGTAAACAATAGCTGCAGTGTATAAAGGGTGATGTGGTTGTAAAAGGCAGTGGGATGGCAAGTTGATGAGATGTGCTTCACTGAACCATGATGCCACCGTGACGTTTGCCCACAGGGCCTGGTTTGTAGAGTTTCAGGCGTTGTTATGGTTGGCAGTAGGTCGTACTGAATATTGCCACCTGAATAGATCTTATTAATGACGAAAGAAGACCGTTTTCATATGTTTGTATTAATTGTGCGCTGCAGACTGTTTCAGCTATGATTGTAGTACAAGCTATTTGGTTATATAGCAGGCAAGAAGTAAATTGAGAAAAGAAAAATGCCCCCGGTGGATTAGGTAGGTTGTACACTGTGTAGCAGTCTTGTCATTTTGGGGGAGGTATTGCATTTGATTTGTCCCCAAATCACACATTGAAGGAGCGTGTTCTGTTTTGTGCTTTGAATGCTCTGTGTCTTCGTTACGCTTTTCTTCTTTGGAAAGAGTGGTGTGGGGGGGGGGAAAATCTGTTTATATATAAAGGGTGTGTCAATGGAAATCCTGTAATTCTACATTCCTACGTGCACTCAAATAAGTACCTCTTAACACACCTGCAGGGTAAGAGTAGTTTGTGCACCACCCAAAATTCTTCCAAACTTTCCTTTTTAGGGTATGAACTGGATTCTCCTACCTCACTTTGTCTCCAGTTAGTTTGCATACTACACATGTATCTGTTGCCCCATCTCTAGGGATTCTTCTGCCCAAGTCAATAACTCCCCTGTCTTTCTTCTCTAAGGGCCATCTCACCTCCAGAACATGCTATTCATGTTTACATTCCATATTTATCTTCTTTTTTTTAATTACAGTTCTGTAAACAGATTATCAGATTTTATTACCACAATGACAATTAGTAAACTTGCAGATTAGTCGTACACGAATGCCTCACTCAAATCTCCCACTGGAATATTACTGTGAAATGCAATTCAAGATTCAGTATGCAATCCCTTCAAGATGATTTGCCAGCAGAAGCTTTTGGAACTAAAAAAATAAAATGAAAGCCAATAAAAGTCTGAAATCATCTGGATGGCAAACTGATATAAGAATGTAAAATTTCCATAAATAGACAGAGAAATCAAGCAAACATTAACCTTTATTCCATGAATGTGATATATTTATAGGCCTGACGCTTGCGATAGGAAACACTCTTATTTCTGTCTAGCCATCTTCACATTAAAATACAGTGAATTATATCAAATTAAACGAGTACATAGGTTTGAGCTATTATATTTTCTTTGAATAAGCTAGTGTAATAAAATAAATTATTGCCAAATTGGTAAAATAAAAACATGCACCTATTAAATGCTCTGTACTCTTAAAGAAAACTCACCAAAACACCATAACTATGACAGCATGATTTAGTGGTTATGGTGCCAGGAGTACCCTGACATTCAGTAGTGTAACTAGCCAACCGTTTTAGAAAGTTGACTTTTTATCTGGTGCCGCTCCTCATCTCTCTGCAGCCTCCAGAACCCCTTTACCTTGGCTAGCCCTGGCGATGCAGGGCTTTGCTTATTGGGGGAGAGCTATAGAAATTTCTCAGCCAGTTATTAGCCCTGGAGAGCCAGAACCCCTTTACCTTGGCTAGCCCCGGCGGTGCAGGGCTTAGCTTATTGGTGGAGAGCTATAGAAATTACTCAGCCCATCACCCCCACAACACTAACACGAGTTTAAGATCTCATTATTGAATCTGTGTAGGAGATGAGGGGTGCGGTACCAACAGGCCAGCAGCTTGGAATTGATTTCCTGTGTGCAAGAGCGGATGGAGGCTTTATTAATTGTTCCTCTGAGGGGACAATCGCAGGTCATTTTCATTTTGCGACAAATCCGGGAAGCACAGAGGCTATTTGTGCAGAGCAACTGGTATTTAAGACTGAGACGCATCGGGCTAATCTTTTTCCAAGTATGGCAATAGAATTTGATGGTAGAGGGCTGCCTGTGGAGATTGCTTTAGGGGGATAGCGAATTTATAGAAGTGAGTAATTTGAAAATTGTGGAGTCTATGTATACTTGCGGCATACCAAGGGCCTATGCTTAGAAAGGCTAAGTTTGGGGGATAGGTGCCTGTGGGGAAATCAGGGTTTTGTGTCAGTTGGAATATAGGGCCTGGAATGGTAGTAAAGTTGTGTTTAAGTCCGCATTTAATCTAAACTTTAAGAGTTGAGCCGATAAATGGGTGGTACAGAACAGACCTTCTTCTTGTTGCGGTAGATCGTTGCTGGCAATGAGCCGCTGGATTCCTCTAAATCCTGGTTAATCTGGTGGGCATGTGGAGGGGTGGACATACCTAACCATTAGTCTCAAAAGGTGGGCTGCCTCATAGTGTTAAAAGGGAAACTCTAGTGCTAGACATACCAAGTTGTATTCCTAGCTCTATAGAGCTCCCTCACAGTACAGAAAGGGCTAAGGACACTTCTATCAATTACTCAAATCCTCAGCTTCTCCTCCCCTGGTGCCAATGTTGGAGACCTACTGCGTATGCGCGGAAATTGCCTCGCTCGCATTGGGCCTACCCATAGGAAAGCATTGAATCAATGAGCTGAAGTGATATGGGTGCCTATCTATAGTGTCTCTCTAATGGGGGAAGGGAGACCAGCTCCCCCTAGTGTCTCGTCAAACATGGGTGTTCCAGGCTCTGTGCCTCCTTATGAATGTGCGTATTGCGTAGGTCACGAAGGAGAAGAATGTATGCGGTACGGTTATATGGTATGATTTGAAGGAGATACAATAAATACATCTTACTCATCACTTGATTTTGATTGTTTCTACAAGTTGCAATACTCTACTGCTCATTATTTGTATTGCTCGTCCTGATGCTCACAGATTACTGTATACACAGCTACGGGAAAAGCATGTTTGTTAACAGATTTTAGACAAAATGCTGCAGACGCATAAATCTACATTTACAGACCATTTCCAAAGTTTCTGACTGCTTGGAGTTTGCAGAATTGTTTGTGTCCCTCTAAATCTGGCCAATGAGGATGACAAAGTTCAAACTGTTAGTGTTGACTTAAGAGTCGATATTTTAGGAATAAAGTTCAGTGCATGCAGTTACTGTAAAGGGAATGATTGTACGTTTAATTCGGAGAGGGAAAGGAATGGAGCTGTTGACATTAAGGTACAAATTAGATAACTTTTTTTGCGCTTAGCAAGCAGTGCTCATCATACTATTGCGTCGAATTCTAGGCTGGGAAATCTGTGGAAAAGCAAAGTCTGGATAAGGATGATGGGAGTGTAGTCCACTGCCAGCCCAGACAAATGTCTTTGCATTGTGGGCTGGAGTTCAGCTGTTCGCAGTAGCATTCTGCTTGATCATAGGGAAAGCTCCTAGGCCGCGAGTATAACTCTGGCTTTCTGAATATATTTCTTTTTCTTTTTTTACCAATATCAGCAGTGCTCCATGAGTGCAGAGTGCTTGCTTGTGACTGAACTATTACGTAATATCTGCTCTTTTTGCATCTTTGGCTGCATGGGGTTGATAGGAATTGTAGTCTACCAACAATAGCATCCTGAGAGAGTGTTCAAACCTAAGCTAGTCGCCAGGAAAGGCTGGAAAGTGACATGTTCCGTGACAGAGCCTGCACCTGGCACTTGTGCCCGAGGGGATCTCCGTAATGAGCTCACCCACGTTCTGTCTTACTGAGTGTGTATTAACATCCTTATACACCTAGAACTGTGACTGCAGCCAGATAGATTAGTACTTTACAAATGAAATATGCAGCAGGCATGCTTGAAAGGATGAGATAACGTTTCCCATTTGATCATAATGCATGAGTATATTTTACACTTGTATGGAGGTAGCAGTTTATTTTTTATTTTTTTTTAATGTTATTTTTTTTATACGTTATCTCTCCTCCCTCGTTCATATCTATGTTTAGCTCATGTCTCGGTTAATCTCATAAATCACAGAACTCTTCCCTTAATGGCTTATAAAAATTGATGAGGAAATTGCAGTTTAAGGAGAAAATAGCCTAATGAGCTATGAACTATGCCAAACGATATCCAGAAGGTTAAAGTTCTATTAAAAAGGCTTATTTGAATGTGGACTTTGTCATTATACCTTCTTAAAATTGATCAGGTTTAAGTAGATGATCTTTAGAAATGTTTTTAAAGCCTAGAGATTAGGGATCGACCAATATTGATTTTTTTTTTTAGAGCCGATACCGATTATCTGTGAACTTTCAGGCCAATACCCGATAATTTACCGAAATTCTGTACATTTACCATTTTGAAAAAATAAACTATTTCTAAAGGCACAAAATATACATGTCACATGTAGTGGATGTAGTGTTTAGACAGGGGAGCTGTGTGTGTGTGTAGTGGATGCAGTGTGTATTTGTGTAGTGTGTGTAGTGGATGCAGTGTGTATTTGTGTAGTGTGTATAGTGAATGCAGTGTTTATGTAATGTGTATATAGTGAATGCAGTGTTTATGTAATGTGTATATAGTGAATGCAGTGTGTGTGTTTGTGTAGGGTGTGTATAGTGAATGCAGTGTGTGTGTATATACTAAATGCAAAATGTGTGTTTGTGTAGTGTGTTTATATAATGCAGTGTGTGTGTCTGTGCGTGTTTGTGTAGTGTGTTTTATATAATGCAGTGTGTGTGTGTGTTTGTGTAGTGTGCATTATATAAACACACTGCATTATATACACAGTGTGTTTGTGTAGTGTGTGTATATAATGCAGTGTGTGTGTTTGCGTAAGTATGTAATTTGGGGGCAGGGGGCACTTTTTATTTACCTTTTTTTTTTTTTATATTTATTATTGTAATTTATTTAGTCTCTCCCCCACCCGCCTCCCTGCTTCCTACTTGGCCAGGGAGGGGGCATACAGCATTCCCTGGTGGTCCAGTGGCATGGAAAGTACAGAGGGGGCCCGCAACAGGCGCTTACTTACCTTCCCAGCGGCTCCCTTCAGCTCCCCTGTGTAAATCGCGCTGCCGGTGCGGAGTGTTGCCATGGTAACCCATAGCAACGCTCTGATGGTTGCGGAACTCGCAAGATTTACACAGGGAGCTGAAGGGAGCTGCTGGGAAGGTAAATAAGCGCTTGCCACCCTCTCATGATAATAGTCAGTGTAGGACCCACCTGAGAGGTTTGCCTTGACGTGGCAGGTGGGCATTCCCTCTCATGATAATAGTCAGTGTAGGACCCACCTGAGAGGTTTGCCTTGACGTGGCAGGTGGGCATTCCCTCTCATGATAATAGTCAGTGTAGGACCCACCTGAGAGGTTTGCCTTGACGTGGCAGGTGGGCATTTCCTCTCATGGTAATAGTCAGTCTAGGACCCACCTGAGAGGTTTGCCTTGAGGTGGCAGGTGGGCATTCCCTCTAATGATAATAGTCAGTGTAGGACCCACCTGAGAGGTTTGCCTTGACGTGGCAGGTGGGCATTTCCTCTCATGGCCATTGGAGAAACGAAATAACCTCCATTGGTTAAAATATACATAGGTATTTGAGAAGAGCGCAGGTAACTTTTTTCTTTGTGTTTTACTGTATGTATTGGGCCTGATGTGTACTATAGTCGTTGCTGCCGCCCAAGAGTAGTGGGAGTTTGAGCGCAGGACTTGTTTTTTGTATTAATAATTACATATGTCACTGTGAAGTTAATTTTCCTTTCCTTATGCCCGTAGTATCATAATGATATGTTGCCAAAGATGCACTCTACATAAAAAGCCTTACTGTTTCTTTATTTTTCTTATTATTAGAAATAAACAAATGGTTAATTAAAACACAACGTAAGAGTCATTGCATTGTTTTATTTGCACCTGCAGTGTTTTAGGAAAAATCACTACAACCCTCGCCCGCCCAGTGATGTCACAGGGAGAAGCAGATTAATATTCATTAAATATAATTACTGTTTTCATCTATGTAAATTCAGCCGGAATTAACATGTAGAGATCGGTCTGTGTCTTGAAATGACCTCACCATTTTAAAATCCTTAGTGACCATTAATGAGCAGAACAGGCTGACGTGATCGTGTGATGTCAACAGCCAATCAGAGTCTCTATTTTGCAGAGCATCACTGGAATTGTAGTTCTTCACCAGCTTTAGGACTGTTACCCCATTTCTAACGCAGTTTTCATTTTATCCACCCACCTAAAAGCTCCTAAGATGTCCTCAATAATGTAATTATCTTTGGGGATTTTATCTGGTCAGACCATATCAATTTATCAACATGATTTAATAAGCTATATTAATGATTATTATTGATTATTTTACTAAAATCTTAATTCTAGAGACTTGGCCAATGAATTGTAAATCTAAACTCAAATAGTTCCTGCAGAGATGGCAAGTTTTGGGTACAAATAACTGAATTGCCAGCTATGCTTTGCGTTTCATATTTTGGTTCAGTTTGAATTTCACTATAAATACCTGACAGTTATGATTTAATGAATTTTAGTTTTTATTCAGATTTTATACATCTTTCAATATTGGTCTCAGAGTAGAGCATCTTAAGAAACGTTCGTTAAAGTCTAGATAATGATTGCGTTACCCGATCTCCCAAGGTGTGGCATCTAATGTAGTATGGAGAAGCATCAGATGTCATTTATAAACTCCGGCCTTAATGATGATGAGTAATATGTGAAGGTAATATCCTGACGGAATTGAAAGATAATGAACCATGAATTGACCATAAAATGAGCAGAAGTCTCTGGTCTTGCTATTTAACCACCCACAGTGTGAATGTTACTCTGCAATTATTCTGTCTCAAGTAGCAAGAACGAATCTAATTAAACAAACAAAAATACATTTCATCTTGGAGAAGGGTAAGCTGTTCATGATGGGAATATCATTTCATTTTTATATACCTTTTATATTTTAACATTTAGCTTCTGCCCAGAGAAGAAATAGCAGTAGATAAAAACCAAAGAAAAAAAAAGTTACTTGCGCTCTCTCCTTAATCCCTTTGTATATTTAAACAAATGGAAGTCCTTTAGTTACTCCAATGGCTATTGGAGGGAATGCCCGTCTGCCAACGTCAAGGCAGACCCCCCCCAGGGCAGGTCCTACACTGACCTTTCACCTTGCCTTCTTGAGCTTCTGGAAAAGATATCTCTAACGAGACAGAGAGGGGTATTTTTTTTATATACACCCCTACATGCTTATTAACCCTTAATAGGGAACAAATGGGATGGGCAGCAGCATTGCAACATAGCTGTGTAATACAAAAAGAAAAGTCCTGTGCTCACTCCCATCACTCTTGGGCGGCAGCAACGACCACGGTACACATCAGCCCCAATACATACAAAGAAAAAAAACTTACCTGCGCTGTCTCCTTAATATAACTCTGCCATGTGTCATGCGAGTTTATAGTTTCACATCCACTTCTGGGATACTGTTTTGGCCGTACCTGCTTTTTAGTGTGTACTAATTAAGACAGATATCTGAGTATATGTCAGGAAACGATTCTCCGTTTATTAAGATAAGGGAATCATGAGAGGCCCATTAATTAATCAGCTTTCTTTCTTACAGATATTGATTCATTGACTTGTATATCTCGAATTGTGATTCTGTGCAACCCATGCTGGACCTTGCTTGGTATCCGCTTGACACTGGAACTCCCAAGGAACATGCTTTTCATTTGCCTTGCCTCCTTATCTTCTCGAGGTCTATTTTTGTGTTAACAAAAGAATATTAATTCCGTACTATGTGGTTTCCAACTCTCTGTAAAGATCCCCTGGCAGGGTAAAAAACTGCAACCTCTATACGAAATAGATAGTATATATGTGCAGTTATAGGGACGAGGAAAGAGCTGCAGAAAAGTGTTTTGGTGTTTGTTTGTGTGTGTTTTGGTTTTATGGACATTTATAAGTTTCTGGTATGTGTTGAACCAGGTGAGGTGATGAAAAAGCAAACAGGCATCTAAGTGACCGTTTTGCAGGGAAAATAGAAATATATTCTTAGGCAGGACATATGCAGCCATTTATTTATTTTATTTTCATTTATTTATTTTTGACAACTTATTTATCTGAGATTTGTCTAGTTCATCTAAAAGTTATAACTTTTTGGAAAAGTGGAAATAGAAATCTGAGACGTGATGTGGTAGGTGCATTTATACCTCCTGCTGCTGGTCTACGGATGCTAACAAATCACCGTAATATTAGTAAGTAAGTCAGTATGAGATTATAGCTATAAATAATTTAGTCCGATTCCTTACTAAAGGAAATCTGACTCTTTACACAAAGTTCAAATGTTTTGGGGATTTATTTGCAAAACGTTGAATGGAGGGAAACACAAAACAAGATTGCAAACTCTGGCTAAATAGCCAATAAAAACCCAGACTGAGCGAAGGGGTTTCCTTCCTAATTAGCAGCCTAACTCTTTTTGTTATTTATGTGTAGGTATTTTGTAGTTTACTGTATAACGAATATCCCTTTGGATTGTTGCCTGTAGGTTTTGGTGTAATAAGATGTATTTCTATAAATATTTTGTGTAAGTTATGTAAAGTTTAGCTGGTAGGAGATCTCCCTGTGTTCGGCTGTTTTGAGGCCGCATTCTTTGCCTTGACGTGTGTAATTGAATCACAATTTTTAAACCTTCACTGACTGTTTTTAAAAAAACAAACAAAAAAACTGTTAATCAGTATCTGTGATTTGCAGAGAAACTCCCAGCTTCGCACTCTGCACAGAAACATATAATCAGGGGGGGATCTTTTAAATGTCCCCTGATGTCTTATCTCAATCTCAGTCTGGATGCAGTGGCCGTTTAGTCGATACAGCTATGTTTACATTGCAATATTAAATGAATACTATAAAACATGTATTCCTAATACTATATTAAGGTGACCGGGCCCCTCACAATGAATTTAAGCAGTGTTTTACCTTTTCTCCGTTGCCACGCTGGTCTTGATGCGGCTGGCCCTGCCTCCATGCCGGAGATCATCAATATTGAGAGCCAGGTAAAAGCAAATAAGCTATAGCTTAGGATGTCCTTTTAAAGGAATAAAAAAATGAATTAACCACAACAGCTTATAATTTATTTCTGCACTCAAAACTAGTTTTTAAGCTTCTTGCCTTATGGCACTCACTGCCCGGTAAATCGTATGACGCACTGCCCGGTAAATCGTATGACGCACTGCCCGGTAAATCGTATGACGCACTGCCCGGTAAATCGTATGACGCACTGCCCGGTAAATCGTATGACGCACTGCCCGGTAAATTGTATCGCGCACTGCCCGGTAAATCGTATCGCGCACTGCCCGGCAAATCGTATGACGCACTCCCCAGTAAATCGTATCGCGCACTGCCTGGTAAATCGTATGACGCACTGCCCGGTAAACCGTATGATGCACTGCCGGTAAACTGTATCGCGCACTGCCCGGTAAACTGTATCGCGCGCTGCCCGGTAAACCGTATGACGCGCTGCCCGGTAAACCGTATGACGCGCTGCCCGGTAAACCGTATGACGCACTGCCCCGGTAAATCGTATGACGCACTGCCCGGTAAATTGTATCGCGCACTGCCCGGTAAATCGTATCGCGCACTGCCCGGCAAATCGTATGACGCACTCCCCGGTAAATCGTATCGCGCACTGCCTGGTAAATCGTATGACGCACTGCCCGGTAAACCGTATGATGCACTGCCGGTAAACTGTATCGCGCGCTGCCCGGTAAACTGTATCGCGCGCTGCCCGGTAAACCGTATGACGCGCTGCCCGGTAAACCGTATGACGCACTGCCCCGGTAAATCGTATGACGCACTGCCCCGGTAAATCGTATGACGCACTGTCAGGTAAATCGTATGACGCACTGCCCCTGTAAATCGTATGACGCACTGCCCCTGTAAATCGTATGGCGCACTGCCCCTGTAAATCGTATGACGCACTGCCCCTGTAAATCGTATGGCGCACTGCCCCTGTAAATCGTATGGCTGTAGTTAACTGTAGTTAGTGACACAGAATATATTTGTTTATATAAATGCTAATACTGAACGCCAGACAGTATTACAATGTGTACCGGGACTATTCAGTAAATTTTGTATATCTGTGTCCTAAGTATTCCCTCTCTTTTGCAACATGACCTTTTAAAAGCCAAATATGAAGACAGGCTAATTGCTCAGATGTATTATTCAGTAACTAGCTGGGATCATTGTTTGAGTCCATTGTTTATTGTTAATTCTCTGGATGCTGCATGGCACATTCTTAACGTCTTTCTGACGTGTATTGTTAATTCTTAGATGCCTTGTGCTATTGGACTCTTCTTCTGACATCCACAGTTGTATACGTAGGCATGGTTTCCTAAATTTCCCCTGTATGCTGGGCTTGCAAGAAGGCCAACACACCTGTAAAATAATTTCTGAATTATATCTCAGTCCCAGAAACTCTTGTGTCTTTCTTTACTTAATTTGCATTGTTAGAGTATGCTAATACATGCAGCCACTCACCCACCCCAAAGAAAAAGGAAAAAAAACAGAATAACAATAAAACAAAATGTGGTCTTAACATTAGACGTGGGGGCCTCTCTATTAAATTCATTTAATATTTGACTCAGTTGACTCGATCGTGATAGTCCAGTGCTTTGCTGTGGAGTCGGCATACTTTGCATACTGAGGCTGGATGTAAAACTGATTCACTCTCTTAATGTGGCTCTTTCTATGGAAAATATATTCAATTATTGGATTTATTTCTGCTGAATTATATTGGGCATAGCTAAATGTAAACATTGTTGTTTCTCAGAAATGGCGCTGTTTAGAAAGTGACAAAGAGGCATCATCTTTGCTCCAAAATCACTTGATTTAGATGAAGTGGTTATGGTGGTTATATTGTCCCTTTAAACGGCGTTTCTCTAGCTCACATTTCATGTAGAGGCCGTAAGATAATGCAGTGAAGTAAAATGTATGCTGTACCAGCGCTTTGACCCTTACATGAATTGGTGTCCCTTTTAAAGCTCAGAAAATATCATCTATACGTTTTGTTATCCAAATTTCTACAAAAATTATACATGGAAATATCTTTTGTACATTGCTTTTGGCACAGAAGGTCAGGTCTTATCTAACGATGGACAGAGCAGTTGTATAACAGCCATCCGGCTCCCACAAATCACTAGGAGCAGTGTACGTGTATGGGATTATATTTTAGGCTATACTCTTGCTGACCATGATTTTTGGGTAAGACCATTTCATGTTAACCTTTTATTTATTTTTTTACAGTGTTCCAAATTATATACATTGCAGTAGCCTGGCGACCTGTTCCTCAATTGTAAATGATGTCCGTGGCTGGTTTTCAGTTGTGGTATAATATGTTAAATTCAGCAGGCCTTTATCCTACTCTCTCAAGTACCGTTAGGGTTCCTAAAATAAGACAATCTATGCTTATTGTATGTATTGTCTGAGTGTTCCTGTATTTTAAATTAATTCATTATTAGATATTTTAGAATTTTAAAGTACCTTTTACCTTTCTCTGTTCTTTTCCTCTCAGAATCCATTCTTATTTTTCTTTCTGATATATTTCTCTTTAAAACATAAGACAAAGTGGGGACTACTTGTCTTATGTATTTTTCCTACGCTTGGGAATTGTGACAAAAAGAATAGCTTAAAGGAAATCTATAGTGTTAGAAATTCAACGCTGTATAGTGCCCCCTCCATTACAGCCCCCTGTGTGGCTCATAAAGGGATAAATATCCCTTAATTAACTTACCTGATTCTAGCGCCGATGTCCTCAGTGCTGGGTGGCTGTCTGCCTCCTCCAACGTCACGCCAATGGGGAGACCTAATACACATGCACAGTGAGCGCCGCACGCGTATTAAGCCTTCCCAGTGGAAAGCATTGCCTCAAACTCTGGGAAACTCCAGGAATCGCCACTAGAGGCAGTCTTAGTACTGCAATGTTAACAGCGTCTCTAAAATGATTTACATTGCAGTAATAAGAAGGGCAGGGACATTGCACCCAGAAAAATTCAATAAATTATATGGGGCGTAGCTAAATGTAAACAGTGTTGTTTCTCCAAATTGGCACGTGGTGCCTATAGTGTCCCTTTAAGGCCAGCTCCACTTCCTTTGTCAAACAAATCTTGATTTAATCTCCACCCTTTGTCAAGATTGCCAAGTGTGAGAAAATTACACAAGACAACGTAGTCCCTATTCTGTCCTATGTCTTAAAGAGAAATGGATCCGAAATGAAGAATAGAAGAACAGATTCTAAAGGTGAAAGCAAAGGAAAAAGTTACCTGCGCTCTCTCCTTAATCCCTATGTGTTTTTAAACAAATTGAGTTTTTTAGTTACCTCCAATGGCCATGAGAGGATAAGCCCACCTGCCAACGTCAAGACAGACCCCCGTAGATGGGTCCTACTCTGACCCTTCACCTTGCTTCCTCGAGCTTCTGGCACAGATATATCTAACGAGACAGAGAGGGGTATTTTTATATACATCCCTACATGCTTATTAACCCTTAATAGGGAACACATGGGATGGGCGGCAGCATTGCAACATAGCTGTGTGATACAAAGTAAATACAAATACAAAGAAACTAGTCAAACTCCCATTACTCCTGGGCGGCAGCAATGACCATAGTACACATCAGCCAAAATACATGAAGTAAAAACCATGGCCATTGGAGGGAACTAAAAACCTCCATTTGTTTAAAAATACAAAGGGATGTGGAAAGAGCGCAGGTAACTTTTTTCTTTGGTTTTTACTATATGTATTTTGGCTGAAGTGCACTATGGTCGCTGCTGCCGCCGAGGAGTAATGGGAGTTTGAGCGCAGGACTTGTTTCTTTGTATTTAGATTCTAAAGGAGGAAGAGACGAGGAAACAATAGGAGAAATATAAGTTTGAGGTGACAGAGCCAATTTAAATTTAAGGGCCAAAATGGTAAAATTCTCTAAGTAAGCGATGCTTTCAATGCGGCTACTCTGGCCATAGATTTGAAACTCACGTTTAATTCTCACTTAAATAATGCTGACAGAGTATACAGATTGGTTGTTAATCAGAGGACAGGGAATCCAGCCATGACTGTGTATAGAAGGGGAAATCCATTTCCTTGGAAGACAGTCTGATTAATTAAGGACAGCGGTTAGATATGAGGGTGAAGATATACATTTCCATCTGTCAGATGTTGCTGAACTACAACTCCCATGATTCCCTGTCTTTTTAATTGGAAGAATCATGGGAGTTGTAGTTCAGCAACATCTGGGGGGCCGCAGGTTGGACAGCCCTGATTTAGATAAAGTCATCTGGAATTGTCTGGAAAAAGATAATTGGCCATTGCACACGATCAGGGTCTCGGAGTATCTATCCTCTTTGATCATTTTGTTAGGTTCCACACGCAGGGCTCATTGATGGCTCAGCTGGATTTAACCACTCTCAGCCAATAATTGTCATTCAGATTTGTCCCTTTTATTAGTTCTTGTTTGTTATTGTAGTTCACCATAGGTTATAGTTATACTGAAGTACTTTTGTTATGGACAGTGTGATCTTTGGCAATGGGCGGGGCTTAGAGTTTCATTTCATTGTTAAAAGGAACACTACATACAAATATGTATTCCTAACGCTATAGAGCCCTAGTCACGGTGACTAGGGCCCTTCCGCAGCAAATAGATGGTTGGTTAACTGTTTATTTGCTTACCTTAATCCAGCGCCGGGCTTCCTTTGAACTGGTGACCTCTCCTCCTCCTTCAACGTCATCTCCCGAGTGGAGCTGAATGCACATGCGCGACCAGAGGCCCGCACACATTCAAACCTGCCCATAGGAAGGCCTTACTCAATGTTTTCCTATGGGGATCTTTTTTGACGCTGGACTCTATGTGGACGTCCAGCGTCAAATAAGTTCGTTTTTACTCTACTGGCTGTCAGTTTTCTCTGAAACTGCAGGGTTAAAACTAGGGGGACCTGGCACCCAGACCACTTAATTGAGCTGAAGTGGTCTGGGTGCCTAAAGTGGTCCTTTAAGATAATTTTCCCATAATCCACTAGTGAAGAGTCCCACAGATATCGGCAGAGAAGGACAAAATGGCAGCACCCAGATATTGGGTGGCACAATGAAAAAAAATAATACATAGAAGTGGCATTGAAGGTCATATAATAATTAAAATAAGACCATGCCATAGCATGGGGAGAGTTGTGGTTTATATAAAATATTTCACGAATGTATGGATATTAAACTGGGGATGGCGCCATGGCTAAATAATCAGTACAGGGAATTTGAGTGGTTGTATTGTGTAGAGCAGCCCTTTAAAGGTACACTGTATGCACACATACTATTTCATCTAAATTAGAGATATTGTGGTCTGGGTGCTCAGTTCATCCAAATTAGAGATATTGTGGTCTGGGTGCTCAGTTCATCCAAATTAGAGATATTGTGGACTGGGTGCGCATTTCATCCAAATTAGAGATATTGTGGTCCGTGTGCTCATTTCATCCAAATTAGAGATATTTGGCTCTGGGTGCTATGTGTCTCTCGTATTGAACCTGCACTGTAAAACATTGGGATTCTCCAGGAACGGCAATGCTTACTTTGCAGGGTTTAAAGCAACACTATAGGGTCCGGAACACAAACCTGTATTCCTAACCCTACAGTGTTTAATCCACCATTTAGGTTGCTTGCCCCCCTTAAAAATGCAAAGTTATGCAGTTCGGCATCAGGAATGCACAAGCACCTTATACCCTTAATACAACACACGAGAAGGACTTGGGAATTGTTATAAACCACTATGCAGCAATGGCAATCCGCAGTGGCTAAGGCCAGTAAGGTATTGTCATGCATGAAAAAGGGCATTCATTCTGGGGATGAGAATATCATTTTGCCTTTTTATAAATCACTGGTAAGACCACACCTTGAATATGCTGTGCAATTTTGGGCACCTGTTCTAAATAAGGATATTATGGCACTAGAAAAAGTGCAGAGGTGGGCTACAAAATTGATAAAAGGAATGGAACATTTTAGGAAAGGTTAACAAATTTAAACCTCTTTAGTTTTGAAAAAACATTGCCTCAGAGGGGATATAATAAAATTATACAAATATATTTGTGGCCAATACAAATAATTGTGTACAAATCTATTCACAAACAGGACTTTACATATGACACAAGGTCATGTGTTTAGACTGGTAGAAAGAAGATTTAGTGTAAGCCAAAGGAAAGGTTTTTTACCGTAAGCACAATAAGGATGTGGAATTCTGTGCGTGAAGTGGTGATTTTATCAGAGTCCATACAGACGTTTAAACAGCAACTAGATGCATACTTGCAAAAACAGAATATTCAATGATATCATTTTTCAATGTAGGGTAATAACTGCTTAATCCAAGGATAAATCTGACTGCCATTCTGGGGTCAAGAGGGAATTTTTTCCCTAGTTTGTTGCAAAATTGGAAGTGCTTCAAACTGTTTGGTTTTTTTCCCTTCTTTTGGATCAACAGCAAAAACCAAACGTTAAGAAGGCTGAACTTGATGGACACATGTCTCTTTTCAGCCTATGTAACTATGTATCTTTAGCCCCCTTAGAAAATGTTAAAACTCACCTTATTTCCAGCACCTACCCATATAGATGAATTGAATCAATGTATCTATGAGGAAAGTTCAATGTCTCCATGCAGAGGGAGGAGATACTGAATGTCAGTCACACTGTGCAGCACTGCCCCAGGAAGCACCTCTAGCAGCCATCTGAGGAGTGGCCAGTGGAGATATCCCTAAGGGAGAATGTAAACACTGCCTTTTCTCTGAAAAGATGCAGGAATTGGCTATACTCACCAGAACACATACAATAAGCTGTGTACCGTACATTGTGCTATATACCGTACGTTGTGCTGTATACCGTACATTAAAGGGACACTATAGTCACCAGAACAACTACAGCTTAATGTAGTTGTTCTGGTGAGTATTATCATTGCATTCAGGCATTTTCATGCAAACTTTTCTCTGAAAAGGCAGTGTATACATTGACCCTAGGGACACCTCCAAGTGGCCACTCCTCAGATGACCACTGGAGGTGTTTCCTGGGGCAGTGCTGCACAGTAGGCAGCACTGCCATTCAGCGTCTCCACGCTGAATTTTCCTCGTAGAGATGCATTGATTCAATGCATCTCTATGAGGAGGTGCTGTTTGGCCCTGCGCCCTTGCAGATGTTAGCCAATCCAATGCTTTCCCTATGGGAAAGCATTGGATTGGCTAAAATTCGGCAATTCTGATGATGTCACCAAAGGGGCGGGGTCAGCCCCAGCGGACATGCGGCACTGGAAATAAGGTGAGATTTTTTTTTAACTTTTAAGGGGGCTAAAAGGGAGGGGGGGCTGCAAGCCACCTAAATGGTGGGTTAAACACTATAGGGTCAGGAATACACATGTGTTTCTGACCATATAGTGTTGCTTTCAGCTGTATACCCTACGTTAAAGGGACACTATAGTCACCAAAACAACTTTAGCTTAAGGAAGCTGTATTAATGTATAGATCATGATCCTGCAGTCTCACTGCTCAAATCTCTGCAATTTAGGTGTTAAAGGAACACTATAGTCACCTAAATTACTTTAGCTAAATAAAGCAGTTTTAGTGTATAGATCATTCCCCTGCAATTTCACTGCTCAATTCACTGTCATTTAGGAGTTAAATCACTTTGTTTCTGTTTATGCAGCCCTAGCCACACCTCCCCTGGCTATGATTGACAGAGCCTGCATGAAAAAAAAACTGGTTTCACTTTCAAACAGATGTAATTTACCTTAAATAATTGTATCTCAATCTCTAAATTGAACTTTAATCACATACAGGAGGCTCTTGCAGGGTCTAGCAAGCTATTAACATAGCAGGGGATAAGAAAATCTTAATTAAACAGAACTTGCAATAAAGAAAGCCTAAATAGGGCTCTCTTTACAGGAAGTGTTTATGGAAGGCTGTGCAAGTCACATGCAGGGAGGTGTGACTAGGGTTCATAAACAAAGGGATTTAACTCCTAAATGGCAGAGGATTGAGCAGTGAGGCTGCAGGGGCATGTTCTATACACCAAAACTGCTTCATTAAGCTAAAGGTGTTCAGGTGACTATAGTGTCCCTTTAAATCCCTTTTGTTTCTATCCATGCAGCCCTAGTCACACCTCCCCTGGCTGTGACTCACACACCATGCATGAAAAAGAATGGTTTCACTTTCAACTAGATGTAACATACTTTAAAAGTTCCTATTGCCTGCTCTCTAAAGTGAACTTTAATCATACATAGGAGGCTTCTGTGGGGTCTAGCAAGCTATCAACAGTTTAAATTAAATAGAATTTGAAAGCTATCAACATTTTAAATTAAATAGAATGTGCCATGAAGGAAGTATAAACATTAGCTGACTCTTTACAGGAAGTGTGTAGGAAGGCTGTGCAAGTCACATGCAGGGCGGTGTGACTAGGCTGCATAAATAAAGTGATTTAACTCCTAAATGGCAGAGAATTGAGCAGTGAGACTGCAGGGGCATGAACTATACACCAAAATTGCTTCGTTAAAGGACCACTATAGTGCCAGGAAAACATACTCTCAGGGTCCCCCTTCCGCCAGGCTCTGGGGGGAGGAAGGGGTTAAACTTGCCTCTTTCTCCAGTGCCGGGCGGGGAGCTCTCCTCCTCCTCTCTGCTTCCTCTGCTCCTCTTCGGCTGAATGCGCATGCGCGTCAGGAGCTGCGCGCAAATTCAGCCAATCCATAGGAAAGCATTTACAATGCTTTTCTATGGATGCTGGCGTCTTCTCACTGTGAAAATCAGTGAGAAGCACGGAAGCCTTCTAGCGGCTGTCAATGAGACAGTCACTAGAGGCTGCATTAACCCATTTATAAACATAGCAGTTTCTCTAAAACTGCTATGTTTATAAAAAAAAAAGGGTTAACCCTAGAAGGACCTGGCACCCAGACCACCTCATTAAGCTGAAGTGGTCTGGGTGCCTATAGTGGTCCTTTAAGCTAAAGTTGTTTTGGTGACTATAGTGACCCTGTAATGTGATATAGCTGGAATTTTTGCATGCTTTGCAGGGTTTCTAAAGAAGCAGGCGTCCCAGCCTTGTAGATCTACAAACCACAGGATGCTTTGCCAATGCCAGGCATGCAAATAATTCTGGGTATTGCAAAGCTCTAACTGCTGGTAGTCTACCTTTCAGTCTGCGCTTGTTACCTTATTAAAACCAGTATAGCGTTTACCAGGAAATTGAAAACTGTAGCTTATTCAGCCATATAACAATATTGGTTTTCAGGACTATAACTACCATGATGCTTTACCAGCAATGAGCGTAGTAGTTCCCAGCATCTGGTGATCTATATTTTGATCACACTGGTTATAAGGAATGTTGAGGCCATGCTGTCACAGTACTGTGGCCTTCCTAATGGTGTTCTGGGTTTTGAGCCTGAAACATTCCCTTTCAGCGCGTGGCAATAAAATATTCCTGAACCAGCGCTCCAAGCACCGTCCCTCCTCTCCTGGACTGACCCTAATAGACCGATCGGGTTATCAGCCATTTTCACAGATACACTTGCCCTAACGAAGCCCCCACTTTTGTTTGTGTGAGATACTTACTTACTAAAAGCATTCCTTGCTAGCGAACAGGATAAACAATCTATAATCTGCCTTTGGAATCCCAGATCTTGACTTGCTGCTCATTATGGGAGTTGTAGTGCACAAAAATCTGGGATAGCAATTGCTTCTCTGCAGCAAAGGTAGCCCCAACTCCTAAAAGACTGGCAAAGCATCATGGGATTGGAATTTTCCACTAATTTAACCCTTGATATAAAGAGAATGTGCATCCATAGTAAAGTAGCAAAGCACCCACATACATTGTACTCTGGATATTTGCTTACGCTATATGTTGACATATCAGCCGAGCGTGCAAGATGCTTCCTTCTTGGCATGTCTGGCAAACCTGAGACCGTCTACTAACGTGCCATTGTATGTGAACTACATTCCCTCTGGTCATCATGGGAAACGGAGTCCAGAAAAATCCGCAGTCCCATAGCTAGGCTGCACTTTTCTTTAACCCCTTAAGGACACATGTCGGGAGTTTTCTGTAATGCCGGCCTTTTACTTCTGAAGCTGTGCCCTAAGGGGTTTATACACAGCGACTTGTGTCAGAGACGGCCCAAATACCTGTAAAAAACACTTACTGCTCGGTAATGATAGGGTTAACGTAGTATGTCTTCCAGGTATTTGGGTGATGAGATAATGAGGATGTTCATTTACCATTAAGCATTTTACAGGTATATGGGCGGTGTCTGACTTTTTATAGGAGTCTTCCCCTGGCTAGGGATTTCGAGCATCTGCAGTTAAAGTTCGGATAAATGCGTGGGCCATATGTGTTTCTTAATGTAGAATAGTTTGTAAGGTGCCATCACACGCCCACTTCCCATCTACCAGAAAGGCATTCGTTTTCAGGTACGTCCTAAAAAGAATCTACAAACAGGAAATGTGATATTGAATTTCTACAGATTAGGACGTTGAGGATGTACTAACACTCATCTCCCACTATTCCTGGGCGGCAGCAATGACTGTAGTATAGGATCAGTCCAATACAGTTACTTAATCCCTGTGCATCGTTAAATAGCTGGATGTGTTTTAGGATCACTCCAGTGGCTACTATTAGCCCTTTAATGGCTATTTGAGTGATACTAAAAAAAAAAACAGTTATTTAACGATGCACAGGGATTTGGGACAGTGCGCAGGTACCATTTCTTTAGCTTTAAGTATGTCTCTGTGGTTTATGGAGTTTGTAGATTGATGGAAAACAATGTGTGGCAACAAAGAGGAAGGCTCGCTCTGTGGGGAGATGAGTGTATTATTTTTGGGCTCGCTCTGTGGGGGGATGAGTGTATTATTTTCGGGCTCGCTCTGTGGAGGGATGAGTGTATTATTTTCGGGCTCGCTCTGTGGGGAGATGAGTGTATTATTTTTGGGCTCGCTCTGTGGGGGGGTGAGTGTATTATTTTTGGGCTCGCTCTGTGGGGGGATGAGTGTATTATTTTCGGCTGGCTCTGTGGGGGATGAGTGTATTATTTTCTGCTCTGTGGGATTGTATTATTTTCGCTGTGGGGGGATGAGTGTATTATTTTCTGGCTCTCTGTGGGGGGATGAGTGTATTATTTTCTGGCTGCTCTGTGGGGGGATGAGGTGTATTATTTGGCTCGCCTGTGGGGATGAGTGTATTGTTTTGGGCTAAGCTCTGTGGGGGGATGAGTGTATTGTTTTTGGGCTCGCTCTGTGGGGGGATGAGTGTATTATTTTCGGGCTCGCTTTGTGGGGGGATGAGTGTATTATTTTCTGGCTCGCTCTGTGGGGGGGATGAGTGTATTATTTTGGGGCTCGCTCTGTGGGGGGATGAGTGTATTATTTTTGGGCTGATGACATGTTTTCTACCCGTTTGTGATGTTAATAGAGGCAGTTTGCAGGTTGCGTCTCCTCAAAATGTACCATTATCTGGCGTTTCTCTTTCGAAATGCATTCACATTTAACCATGTGGTCTTTAAAAGGGGGCAGCCTCTATGCCTGGGGTACATTTCACGTTTTAGCCAAATGTAGAACTTCGTTATTGACAATCACCTCATCAACAGCTGGAGAGCAATGTTATAGCCATCTCTGAGTCAGGCTTAATCACTAAACTGAAAATTGTCCACAATCCACCAGGAAATGTCCAGCCTAAATAACCTATCTGGAAACAGCTGACTTGGATATTTTTTCCCTAGTTTTGCTATTTTGGCTACATTTACAGTAAAAAATGTATATTGCTATGAAAAAACTCCTACATCGTATAGGACTGGTCTAGTGAATTCTATTTATATCTATTTATGTTTAACCTACCTGGTAAATCAGTAATTCATGTAATCGCTAACCCTCTATGACCGCATCTGTAGGGGCACCAGCCCGTGACATCCTAGCTAGTTGTTTAGAATGCAGAGCATTTTCTAGTGATATAACCGCATATTGCTGTTAAGTTGAATTTCCTATTAGAGCTAGAGATTGTATCGTTTGTGATAACCTACTTTTCTCCAACTTTTGTGTGCTTGAAATGATTCTCTGTAGACCCAAATGTCCCCTTTTCTGTTTCTAATCTCCAGATGATAACCTAATTCTTTATCTGCCAACGATAGTGATTTCCTCCTTTTTCATTTTCGCAGACAGTAATGGCAGGCCGCGGTGACGCGGTGCTTGCTGCTCGCCATGCCAGGGATTGTGGTTTTCCGCCGCCGCTGGTCTGTGGGCAGCGATGATTTGGTGCTGCCAGGAATATTCCTGTTTGTATTGCACAGCACCTGGTAAGGCTTTTTTTTTTCTTCCTTGTACAAAATGTGGTTCTGTTTCAGTTTATCTGTGTTGTAATCCCTCGTCAGTTATGAGTAGTCTGTTGAACACTTGCTGGTAAAACCGGATTCTTAGAGGTACACAATAGTCACTAAAACAACTTTTAGCTTAATGAAACAGTTGTGGTGTATAGATCATGCCCTTGCAGTCTCGCTGCTCAATTTTCTCCACAATTTTTTCAGTTTGTACAACCCTTCACACACCTCCCCTGGCTTTGACTGGCACAGCCTGCGTACAACTAATGGCTTCATTTTTAATTAGATGTTAACTTGATGTAGAAGTTTTTATCTCCTTCTCTGTAAATTCAACGTGTAATCACACTCAGGTGAGCAGGGTCTTAAAGGCTACTAACAGAGCTGGAGAATATGAATTCTAAATTAAACAGACTGTGCAAATAATGAAAAGTAAACATTATTTATCTCTGTACAGGAAGTGTTTAGGAAGGCTGGGTGAGTTACAGCCAGGGGACTGCATAAACAAAGTGATTTGTCTTCTAAATGGCAGAGAATTGAGCAGTGAGACTGCAGGGCATGATCTATACACCAAAACTGCTTCATTAGGATAAAGTAGTTTTGGTGCCTATACTATCCTTTTAACGTACATATATTCTAAAGGGTTCTAAGGGCATTTGCAACCACACAAATGTATACTCGACTAATGGAGATTCTAGAACACTGACCCAAAATGTAGTGCACATGTAAAAGGATCGTTCCTTTTTAGATGATATTCTCTTATAAAACTTGGACATCCTACTTGGCTAGGTGTTCACAGGATCTTGATTTTGACTTTATGCTTACTGGATGCAGGTTTCTACATGTGTTCTCAAATGACCTGAATTATTTGAAGTATTTAATGCCGACATATTCTGCAGTGCAGTTCAGTTTAAGCATGAAGTAAAAGGAAAGAAAAGATGTAGGTAAGACATGGGAAGTAATACTTGATGATATACTGATAATCTACAAATGAGGACAGTTTAGATTAGAGGGAAGACTTTTTTTTTTTTGCAGGAGGTGCACAGAGAAAAAGAAAATCCGTGAGAACCATGTCTATGGGGTGTTGAGTTAAATGAAAAATGTCACATTTTTCATTTATATTGTCGCACCTTAGATGCCTGAGACATTCCTTTGTTCGCTTGACATAGGCTGCTCTCTTTTTATATCTGTTCGAGTGAGTGTCGTGAACGCCGGCATCTGTTATAAGAGAAGGGAATTCAGCCAGAGATGGATTGATCCTGCAGCCAAACAAAACACATGCGTGGGGTGTAGCTTGAATCCTGGGAGAGGAGTGGAATTGGTAGAACAAAACTTCACACCAATAATAAAACATTTCAATCCACTCGAATATTAGAACAAAAAATGTGTAAATGTATTAAAACAAAAACATGGGTGCAATGTGGCTGGAGCAAGCAAGGCAAGGGGAGGGGGGCATAGTTTCTGAAGTCACAAAATGCTCCTGATTGTTCCAGCCATGCTGTATAAAAGGTTTTCGATAAAGTTATAGCTTTTTTGTTCTAATATCCAAATCGATTGAGGCCTTTTTTTTTTAACTTTCATTTGAATTTCGTTTTTTCTGTTCTATCTATCGATTTCCATTGTTGTGAGACACTCTGTCAATTGCAGGTTTGTTATCCTGTCTGTGGTTCTCTTTGGTCTCACCTATAACCCGAACGAGGCATGTTCTTTGAACCTGGTGGATCATGGACGTGGGTACCTGGGCATCCTGCTCAGCTGCATGATAGCAGAGGTGGCCATCATCTGGCTGAGCATGAGAGGAGGAATCCTCTACACAGAGCCCCGAGACTCCATGCAATATGTGCTGTATGTGCGGCTTGGTAAGTAAGCCCTGAGCATCTTGGAGAACCGTGTACAACTACGAACTCAACTGATTGAACAGTTTTGGTACTTAACAGTCTTTTGTTTTGTATTTTTCTCTCAAGCAATCCTAGTAATTGAGTTTGTTTACGCCATCGTTGGCATTGTCTGGCTTGCTCAGTATTACACATCTTGCAACGATGTCACAGCGAAGAACGTCACACTGGGTAAGTGCCCGGTGTTTTCTTGTTTAGTGTGGGTGTACTTCCGAAGATATGAGATCAGAATCTGGCAGTCGGCTTGAGTTTGTGAGGATGATTTTCTCATGTGGATTTATGTCTACAGGAATGGTTGTGTGTAACTGGGTAGTCATACTCAGTGTCTGTATCACGGTGCTCTGTGTTTTTGATCCAACTGGAAGAACCTTTGTGAAACTGCGAGCAACGAAAAGAAGACAAAGAAATCTGCGCACTTACAACTTGAGGTAGGGATGTTTTCTGGCTCAACGGTTTCCATTGTGTTTCCATTTTCTTTTATTTTCTTCACTCTTTCTTTGCAACCAAATCCTTGCATAGTTCCTCTCACAATCCTCTAATGTTTCTTTGCTCATGCCACGTGAATCTACACCTCTCAACCCCAGTATTCTAATTTGTTTCTGCTCTCCTTTTAAGACATCGTCTGGAAGAAGGACAAGCTAGCAGTTGGACTCGTCGTCTGAAAGTCTTTCTGTGTTGCACTCGCACAAAAGATTCACAGTCGGTAAGTGAAAAGGTGATGAGGCTTAACCTGTGTGTGTTCATTTTTTATAAACCAGGGCTCAGTGCACCAATCCAATACTAATCAATATATCAGTTCTAACAGAATTAGGAAATCCTGGACCACTGGTGGTCTTTTTTGGGTTGGGACTAAAAAAAGGTTTTGTCACATCTAACTGGAGCTTGGGATGGAATAACTGCATTTTGGAGTTAGGATATCTGTGAATGAGGTCTTTTAGACACTATAGCAGAACAACTACAGCTTAATGTAGTTGTTCTGGTGAGTATAATCATTGCCTTCAGGCATTTTCATGTAAACACTGCCTTTTTAGAGAAAAGGCAGTGTTTACAATGCCCCTAGGGACACCTCCAAGTGGTCACTCCTCATATGGCCACTGGAGGTGCTTCCTGGCTCAAGGCTGCACAATAAGCAGCCCTGCCGTTCAGCATCCCCACGCTCTGTATGGAGACACTGAATTTTTCTCATAGAGATGCATTGATTCAATGCATCTCTATGAGGACGTGCTGATTGGCCAAAACGGCATCTAGCTCCCGCCCCCTTGCCAATTTGGGTGGAGCCCACGCACCAGCGCGGCACTGGAAATAAGGTGAGTTTTAAACTTTTATGGGGCGGTCTAAGGGGGGGCAAACCACCTAAATGGTGGGTTTAGCACTATAGGGTCAGGAATACATGTTTGTGTTCCTGACCCTATAATGATCCTTTTAGGTTAGACTTTACTGGATATTAAGTCAGACAACTCTATATATGTTTAAGAAAGCTTGAGAACAGTCCTTTGTATCTTAAAGCATCTTTTTAATTAATTTATTTTAAATGTTGCGGATCTGTATGCTCTGAGGACATCCACGTGATATGCTTGGCTATTTTCCATCAAAGCACAACTGTCACCAGATTTTTATAAGACTCCTTGCAGCATGTAATGAAAAAATATGGCATTTATTTAATATGTGAAAATACCTGTAAATCCGTCCTTTTACAGAACACTAGATCCCTCTGCCTTATTCATACACCTTCGGTCGAACTGAGGTAGAATCCAACCGTTAGGCTTCTGCTTCACTCCCCATTATGTCTCTGGCCCCATCCTTACAAGATGGGAACCTTTTCTAGAGAGTGGGCAGCAATGGCTGTAGGTTTTTAGTGGGTATCCCACCTGTCGGATGACAGATATGGGCGTATAGAGGTAAAATACCTCCATTGTAGTAATATGGGGGTTTTATTGACCCCCATGGGATAGTTATTTAGTTGTTTTTTAAAAACTATTTTCATGTTGCAGCCGGCTAGCTGCCACATAATTAATCCTTGCGCTGCTGAGTGTTTTTAACTATTGCCCACTGGCTGTTCGCTGGCAAATACTTCTTATAGCTAGCAAGTGAATGATAATTTGCCATCCCTGTTCTGTAGATGGATTTAGATGAGTTTAGAAAATCAGGGATTTCCGAATCCGAATCAGCGTTACAGAATCGGTCAGACTGACCAAATTCTGAGTGCATTTAAATTTAGTAAATATGAGAATGGCCAGTGTGGTCGGAATTCAGACCAGGCACATTAAATACAGACAGTACAGCAGCCGTGCCCTGATTAGAAGAGCACACAGGGCGATGGCTGATCTCCTCACAGATCTGTGCAGGGAGTGAAGCAGTAGCCTAACGGTCGAATTCTACCCCAGTCAGACCAAAGAACGGGCCAGATTTTCAAGTATTTTTACATATACTTCATTTTTTGTAAATGAATTTCATTACATGCTGCAAGGATTCTTCTAATAATTAAAAAACAATCTGGTGGCAGTTGTCCTTCTCGTAAAAAGCACTTCTCTCTAGGAGGTGTGATGATAACCATGTTTCTGTTTTGCAGGACGCATACTCTGAAATTGCCTACTTGTTTGCAGAGTTTTTCCGAGATCTTGACATCGTTCCATCAGATATAATTGCTGGGCTTGTTCTTCTGCGTCAGCGCCAGAGAGCCAAGCGTAATGCAGTTCTGGATGAGGTGTGTCATTTGGTGACAAATGAGATACAACTATCAACAGCAAGGGGTGTTTTGAATTTATTTATTTTTCATTTTATTTATTTTATGGGAGTGAAGAATTTGTATAATAAGGAGTGGATATGAATATCTGTGTCTATTTTACTTTCAGGCCAATAATGATATATTAGCATTTTTATCTGGAATGCCCGTAACCAGGAAAACCAAATACCTTGACCTGAAAAATGCAGTGAGTATCACATTTACCTGGAGAATTAGCTCGCTACCCTATTCCTTCTCCTTCTAATGCTTGCTTTGTCCCCCCAGCAAGAGATGGCACGGTACAAGGAGGTGTGCTACTACATGCTCTTTGCACTTGCAGCATATGGCTGGCCCATGTACCTCATTAGAAAGCCAACATGTGGCATCTGTCGATTGGCAGGAGCTTGCTCGTGAGTACTTCACCATGATTGACCACATTCTCTGCCTTTTGCTCTCTCCTAAATCGGGAGCAATTTTAATCTATTTTCTAGTTGCTCTCACGTTTTATTTTCTATTTGTTTTGAATTTTTGACCCGATTCTTTGTTGCCTTCGTCCATCATTGACTTCCCGTTTTTTTTTTTTCCACACATTTTCTTCTTCTTTTTTTTTGTCTTCTCATTTTACACTTATCTTAATTCTTAGCTTGCCCACATTTTAACTCGCAAGTGTAGACAGTCTCACTTCATCTTGCAATTATTCTCTACATCTCTCATTATTTTATTGCTTTCTTTATTGTCTCTTATTCTGACAGCTCTAAACCTTTTGCATATCTCCTCTATCAGTAGTTGCTGCTGTCTGTGCACTTCCCGACCTCGTTTTGCTCCTGGAGTTACAATCGAGGAAGACAACTGCTGTGGCTGTAATGCAATAGCCATAAAAAGGCATTTCCTGGATGAGAATATGAGTATGGTGGACATTGTATATACATCTTGCCATGACGCGGTTAGTGTTCTATCTGCCCTTACTTTATTCCTCTCTGCTTTGCCCAAAATGGGTAATTGGATTTTTAAAATGGACAGCTCTCAAATGACTTAATAAATGGGTCTGTTATAACCACCTCTGCTCTTGTGTTGATAATATCAAACATTCTCTGTGTTGGGTCTTAAAGAGACTATTCAGCACTCTCTTACTTCCTTTTTTAGGTATATGAAACTCCATTTTTTGTGGCGGTGGACCATGATAAAAGGAAAGTGGTGATAAGTATCCGTGGAACGCTATCTCCAAAGGTGCACAAAAAACTCAAATTGTGTCTTCTATAATGCCAAAAAGAAGACATTCCTTGGAATCTAATCTTCCTTTTCTGTTGCTAGGATGCCTTAACTGATTTGACTGGAGATGCAGAACGTTTACCAGTTGAAGGACACCATGGTACATGGCTGGGTCACAAGGTAAAGTGCTGATATAGACTGATTTTAAATTGGCAATGTTATATCATTTCTGGATGCATGGCCCTACACCAGAGCATGCAATCATGTCGTTTGGCATGTTCACGGTCTTCCTGTTAGGTTCTGTGTTAAGTCAACGTTAATTTCTCTGAAGCTCTGCTCCAAAATTAATCAATAAATTCCAGGTCAGGCCTCCACCAGTGTTTGAATACATGCATGCAATCTGTGTGTGATTTTTATGCACTTTTCCATTTCCTCACTTTTAAGGCACTGAATTAGGCTCTGTGTGAGTAACAATTAGGGGAGTGTAGAGAGATATTTGGAAGGCACAGCATTACCAGTAATGGAAGGGGGTGTTATATTGGAGTATATGAATAGTATAACTTTTAGCTGCAGAGAATCACAGTCTTTAGCTATTTACTATGTACAGCAGAGCTTAAAAGTACACTGTAGGCACTGTTACTGTTTCATCTCATAGAAGTGGCTTTAGTGTCCCCAAGTGCTGTCCTTCCATTCTGCATTAAACCTTTTTTGTCCCCAGCCTCTCTTCACCAATGTGCTACTTGGGCATAATAAGGAAACATTAGCATGGGTGGTTGTGATTGTCTGAAAGTATCAGCTGACCCTTCTCATCCTATCACAGTGCTCATTGCTGGTATGAATTGGTATGGCTAGATCTCAGTCTTAGCTGTATCCCCAGTAGAGGTTAGACTCTTGGTTGTCAGCAACCTTTATTTAGTGTTAAACTGCTTGAAAATGGTTTAACACTGAATGGAGGGAGCACAAGAGTACTTCACGCAATATAACCACTTCAATGAGATGATATGGTTACAGTGTCCCTTTAAAGCAGTAGTACATATCATTTTATGTTTCAACTATGAGCATTGTTTAAGCATACCCAGCCCAAATATTGAGTTGTGTGTTCCCAGGGCATGGTCCTTTCTGCTGAGTACATTAAGAAGAAGCTGGAACAGGAGATGGTACTTTCACAAGCCTTTGGCCGTGACCTGGTGAGTAAGTGAAGAGTCTCGGAGGCTTTTTAAGAAGGATATACATGATTAGTTAGAACAGTTACCTGGTAGCTATATTGACTAGCACGTATCGGATGATTAAAGCAAAGTGAATATGTGATATGTCATTCCTAGATAACGAACACTGGCTGATAAAGGATAGAAAGGTTTTACATGTTCCCACTTCTGTTTCTCTTTTTTTTTTTTTTTTCTTTTTTTTTAGGGTCGAGGCACAAAACACTATGATCTTATTGTGGTGGGTCACTCTCTTGGCGCTGGCACTGCTGCCATTCTTTCTTTTCTTCTTCGCCCACAGTACCCGTCCCTCAAATGTTATGCATATTCCCCACCTGGTGGACTGCTAAGGTATTTAACAGCTATAATTGTATAATTTACATTTTGACATTAATATATAGTGTAATGTGTGACCATTACTAAATTGGTTGATGTATCCAGAGATTATCTTAACTTTGTTTTCCCTACAGTGAAGATGCCATGGAATATTCAAAGGAGTTTGTTACATCTGTAGTGCTTGGGAAAGATCTGGTTCCAAGGTAGGGGATTGGTTTGCTGATTCTACTGACATTATAAGTTAGTGAAAAGATCTATGAGCCTAAACCCACCTCTCTTACAGGATCGGGTTGTCACAGCTGGAAGGTTTCCGCAGGCACTTGTTGGATGTTCTTCAGAGAAGCAACAAACCAAAGGTTAATTTCATTTACTGTAGTGGCTGAATATCTAAGCCTCGTGATTCATTGTTCCTTAAATATTAATGCTGTAATTACTGGCTATTGATTTTTTTTTTTTTTTCATGACACGGATTATCTGCAAGAAAAAAATGACGACTTGTTCCTATTGTTTCACAGCCATTTTGTGACTTTGTCACTTTTAATCTCATTTACATTCAACGCTTCTTTTTTTTTTTTATATATATTTATAAATTTTCATAAATGTAAGACATACATTCAGTGTTAATTACTAAAGTGAGAATTCAAACGGATTTTCACATTTAATGCCACCATAGCTACACTGAAAGCATAGCTGACGTAGAGAATTTTTCTGTCCGCTATTTTGACCTTAAATTTGAAATTCACCTTCAATTTAGGTTGAATTCTAACGTTAGTGACTAACCATGGTAGTGAACATCTAGTTTTGAATCTTTTTTTTTTTTTTTTTAAATCTTTATTTTGGATTGATAGCTGAAGAACTTTAGTATGATTTTTTTTTTTTCTAACATTGTCGCTTTCTAATCCCAGTGGCGCATAATCCTTGGTGGAACGAAGTGCATTCCCAAGTCAGAACTCCCTGATGAGTCTGAAGGGGTGACTGTACCCAGTAATAGACTTTGGACTCATCCCAGTGACCTGACAATAGCTTTATCTGCAAGTACGCCACTCTACCCTCCTGGACGAATCATTCATGTGGTTCACAATCACCCCGAGGAGCAGTGCTGGTTAGTCTAAAAGAGGGTTATATTGTACACATTCCTTTTTGATGTCATTGTGTGACCTTATTTGTCAATATATTATTTTATCCTTTTTTAAATGTAGTTTCTGGGATCAAGAAGAGCCAACATATTTTGCCATTTGGGGAGACAACAAAGCGTTTGAGGAGGTGATAATCTCTCCTGCAATGCTGCATGAGCACCTCCCACATGTTGTGATGGAAGGCCTAAACAAGGTGAGCAAAGAATAGTAATTAAACTGGGGATGGGAGATGGAAGAAACAAGCTGGAGGGAAGGGCAACAAGACCATTAGCCTAAGTGAGAAATAAGGTACGCAGAAGCAGAGGGGTAACTAAATTAGTTTGGGGTAGGGAGAACACAATATACTGGAAGGAGGTAACCAAAGCTGGGGAATGGGGAGAACACAATATACTGGAAGGGGGTAACCAAAGCTGGGGAGTGGGGAGAACACAATATACTGGAAGGGGGTAACCAAAACTGGGGACTGGGGAGAACACAATATACTGGAAGGAGGTAACCAAAGCTGGGGAATGGGGAGAACACAATATACTGGAAGGGGGTAACCAAAGCTGGGGAGTGGGGAGAACACAATATACTGGAAGGGGGTAACCAAAACTGGGGACTGGGGAGAACACAATATACTGGAAGGAGGTAACCAAAGCTGGGGAATGGGGAGAACACAATATACTGGAAGGGGGTAACCAAAGCTGGGGAGTGGGGAGAACACAATATACTGGAAGGGGGTAACCAAAACTGGGGACTGGGGAGAACACAATATACTGGAAGGAGGTAACCAAAGCTGGGGAATGGGGAGAACACAATATACTGGAAGGGGGTAACCAAAGCTGGGGACTGGGGAGAACACAATATACTGGAAGGGGGTAACCAAAGCTGGGGACTGGGGAGAACACAATATACTGGAAGGGGGTAACCAAAGCTGGGGACTGGGGAGAACACAATATACTGGAAGGAGGTAACCAAAGCTGGGGAGTGGGGAGAACATCATATACTGGAAGGGGGTAACCAAAGCTGGGGAGTGGGGAGAACACAATATACTGGAAGGGGGTAACCAAAACTGGGGAGTGGGGAGAACACAATATACTGGAAGGGGGTAACCAAAGCTGGGGAGTGGGGAGAACACAATATACTGGAAGGGGGTAACCAAAGCTGGGGAGTGGGGAGAACACAATGCAATAAAAGCAGTTTAAAACAGACAATGTGGATTTTCTTACATACAATCTGGTCAATCTCAGTTTCCTAAGATGTTATTCCTATAGAGGAAAAAGGAACAAATAGTGCAATAAATCTTGAATCAATATCTGTAGGTATAAAAAAGTGGAGGTAGGACACTCAGACATAGAGCCTTAGGTATTGGCTCAAACTTTAGGCATTGTGGGATCTTGTAGGGTCCCACTCCCTCTTCTGTATATAATGAGGTAGATTCCCTCTCAGTAACAGTGCTGCTCCAATGGTATTCCAAACGATCTTTATTTGATCCAATCAATAAAATAACACAATGACAAAATAAGTTTAAAAAAAAGTCTTTACAATTGGTGGAAAGTCCTGTAATAAGGTTAGCAAAGCCAGTTTCACCCCTCGTGGGGGCTTCCTCAGTTGCTGTAAACCAGGATCTCCTGCTGTCTTCGGTTCCGTTCTCGCCGTTTTCATTCTTTTCATAATAAAAACAGCAACCCCACAATTGGGGGTCAAGCATTTTGCTAATAGTTTAACCTCTTAATGTAAGGAAGTAAACGTTTTCAATTAAAGAAACACTATAGGCACCAAAACAACGTATGCTTAATGAAGCAGTGTTTGTGTATAGACCATGCCTATGAAGCCTCCCTGCTCAATCCTCTGCCATTTAGGAGTTAAATCACTTTGTTTCTGTTTATGCAGCCCTAGCCACACCTCCCCTGGCTGTGACTGACACAGCCTGCATAAAAACAAAATGGTTTCATTTTCCATCAGATGTAACTTTTATTTTTTTTATCTACTGCTCTGTAAATGGAACTTTAGTCACATATAGGAAGCCACTGCACTGTCTAGCAGGCTATTAACTGAGCAGGAGAAAATACATTCTAAATTAAACAGAATGTGCAATAACGAAAGTATAAACATTAGATGGCACTTCGCAGGAAGTGTTTAGGGAGGCGGTGCAAGTCACATGCAGAGAGGTGTGACTAGGGTTCATAAACAAAGTGATTTAACTCCTAAATGGTAGAGAATTGAGCAGTGAGACTGGAGGAGCATGATCTATACACCAAAACTGCTTCATTAAGCTAAAGTTGTTTTGGTTACTATAGTGTATCTTTAAGTGTGAATTGTTGGGAATTCAAAGTGCATTTTAAATGTTTGACTGTAATAGCCCACATGTTTTTACTTCTGTTATTAGTTTGTGAATAATGTTTTTATTTATGGCTTCTTCCAATACAGAGCACAACATTTAGAATGACATAATAAAAATAGTCATATATTACATTATCAGATAGCGTGAAGCCAGAACAAGCTTTTTTTATATTTAGGAACCCATGAGTACTGGACCACTAGAGTATCCCCAAAGTTAGCATTGTACAAGTAGAGAAAAACGTCTAGCAATCCTTAAACTAAGCAGCAAATGTGACCGATAACTGACGTTTTAAAGAGTGCAGATAGGAAGTAACACACTGCGGTATACGAGATATAAAACAGGAGTCCCAGTGAGACATAAGAAGGCAATTAGCCAGGCAGCACTCAGCTGACCCCAATTTCGAGGCTGGTGGCATTGTATTAGAAACCTACTCGCATGCAGGGGGCAGCCAGCTTCCTAAAACAATCCAAAGGCAGCACAACATGTGGGGCGCCTGAGTTGAGCTGAAACCTTCACCTCTTACTGGGCATTGCTGAGGAACAGTCCTAGTTTCTGAAATGCCAAGACAGGAAGGGGCCTGAATCCTCTGCATGCGTCTGATGCTGCGGAGTATCTGGCCGATCTCTGTCCCCAAGAAGCAGCCTACTCTGGGTAGTGGCCGACACTGTTCCCTGCATACTCCGACTAAATGGAGTTGTTTCCAAGCTCCTCTACCTGCATGATATCCAGCAGATGAAATATTCAAATATGGCGTTCAACCTGCTCATAATGCCCGCCGCCCATGATGAAGCTAGAGAGCAGGTTCCAGTGCCACTCCAGTGAGGTAGGTATCCACAGCAATAAGTGGACTCCGGTCCGGATAGGGGGAAAGAAGGGCTCTTGGAGGAGTGTCAACACGGTTCAGACAGCAGGAGAGCGGCCTATTCCCCCCGGCACCTACATAGATAGTATGCTGCAAGGGAATCAGAGCAGATCAGTGTTTAGGCTTGATAATAAAAGCACCTCAGCATTCCCAAGTAGCAGAAGTACGGCTGCAGTCGGGAAAAGTAGGCAATTCCACCGTTTAAATACAAATCGGAGAGATCTTCTGAGGGGCACGTGTGTCCCCTCCACATGATGGCTAAGCCTCCCCTTTCTCTTGTTATTTTTGTTGAAAATTTAAAATTAATGTTGAATTCTCACACTTCATTGAATAACCCTCTTTGTCTTCTGTGGGTTTTACACATCTAGTCTATGTTGTCTGTTTGTCCACCACCTTTTAGAAGGTAAATATTAGACAAATCTGAAAGGTCACAAAGCACAGCCAATAATGTTCTTTTAACAGGTCCTAGAGAATTACAACAAGGGTAAGACAGCCCTGCTATCGGCTGCTAAGGTAATGGTGAGTCCGACAGAAGTGGATCTGAACCCAGAGCTAATCTTCCAGCAGCAGCCGCACCTCATCCCTCCTGTCTTAGAGGTAATACCTGCAATTATGCCTGGGGCACACAACTCGAACCGGAGGAACAGCAGCACCAGGTAACAAAGAGTTAAAATGCAATGTTAAGTTACTGTGGGATATAAGGTCACATGGATCAATCCCCTCCACCTTTCCTGCTAAGATGTGAACTTTCTCAACGCATGCTAACCACACTGTACTGTTACATTATTGATGCATGTAATGTCTTCATATTAACTTGCCTGTATGGAATTATTCAAGAAAATACCTGTATCTGGTTGTCTCCCTTTCTGGAGTAATTTCCTTATCACTCTTCCCCTTGTTTTCCATTTCATGCATCACGATGGCTGCCTGGTATATTCTCATTGCTCAGGGCCCAGGGTGGTTTACTCTTCTCTATGTAATGGAAACTGTTTTTCATTTCTCCTGCATTGCCATGGCCTGTTTGTGTCGTCTCTAGTTGTTCCATGTGTGAGTTTCTTCATTGTATATTTACCTTATCACTGTTTGCCAATCATTCCAGTTTCATCTTAGATTTTATTGTAAGGTAGGCTGCGGTTTGCCGGTGTTTGTGTAGAACTGTGCTCGTACAATTTGGTTATGCACATTAGACGCTATGAAAAGACTTTTCTCATTTTATTTCAAAACTTGACATCAATTTGGCACATGCTTAAAGTCTCATTGAAGAGACTACAGCTAAAATGTTAATTTACCAATTAAATTCAGATTTTCTGAATAAGCTCAAAAAAAGCTTCCCTTTTTATTATTATACCCCATCTTTTAATTAGGCTTTTCTTTTCAGGCTGTATTCTAGTGATGTCTAACTCTTGGGGTCTGAATTTCCTGTGCTAGCCAAGCATCATTGGAAATGTAGTTCATAACATCACGAGTACCAGAGTTTAGAGCGCTACATTTTGACTGCTGAATCTTCTCCTTTCTAGCACTTTTCCTTCCCATGTATTCTCCTGTGATCCCACTTAGCTTCCTGTTCATTTATTCTGTGCCTTCCATTTCCTAATGCTCTTTATATCATTTTCTTTCCTCTCTGTAGGAGTAAACAGTCTGAGATCAGTTTGGAAGGGTTTTACGACTCACGCCTGCTGTCCCCGGTGCTTAAGGATCCAGTGGAATTACTTTTAATGAGCACAAAGGATTGCCTGGCAGTATCCCTACAGGATCGCAGGGCCCCATTAGCTACGATGGAAAGTCTGTCTGACAATGAATCAGTCTACAGCTTTGACTCAAGGCGCTCCTCTGGATTCCGCAGCATCCGTGGGTCCCCGAGTTTGAGAGCTGTGCTGGAACGAGATGAGTCACATTGCTTCTTCATCGATCCCACCATTCCTGAGGAGAACCCATCTCTGAGCTCTCGCACAGAGCTTCTAGGGGCAGATGCCCTTTCCAAGCACTCACAAGAGAGCCAGCACACTGAGGTGGTGCATAACAGTGGCCGTTCTTCACCAGGTGATTTGGCTCCTTGGGAGGAGGTGGGCATGGCAGGTGTGGAGCACAGCAGGACACTCATCCCAGCCCAAGAAGAGCCAGCCCTGCAGAATGGACGCCTAGCAGAGGTTCCCAGTCCACAGGTTTTGGAGTTTGCAGAGTTCATAGACAGCCTGTTCAATTTAGACAGTAAAAGTAACTCTCTGCAGGACCTCTATCACATAATGGTGTCTGATGGCACAGACCGTGACATAGCAAAGTCTGTTAGTGACCAAGAGATCCTGTTACGGGCACAATTTGAGCCCAACCTAGTTCCCAAGCCCCCTCGTGTCTTTGCTGGTTCTGCAGATCCATCATCTGGCATCTCAGTATCTGCCTCGTTTCCCCTCAGCTCCTCTGGAGAACTTATGGACCTGACACTTACAGGTATGAGCAGTCAGGAATGCCTCACACCTGATCCAATCCGGACTGCTACACCTACAGAGTCAAATCATAGTAAGCAAGAAGAATTGCTCATCTCTGCCCTCTAGTGAAATGTATTGGGAAAATGGACACATACTTAGCTGGGAGAGCAACGTTTGGAAAATGATTCTGCTCAAGTAAAATAGGAAGCAGCACAAGTTGAGCTTAATAACCATAGGAAGTTAAGTCTGTGGATAGTGCTGCCTGTATTTTATGCCAACGCTAAGGCAGCTAAAGGGTTTTTAAACCTTTATGGAAATCACAAACCAAGGAAAGTGATAACATTGCACTATGAAGATGCCATCCCACGGCAGCCTTGCATGGCTGATCTACCAGCCATGACTATTTGCCATTGTGTCATTGGTATGTGAGATATTTTGTGTATATGGGAGAACTGAGTGGGCAGTCAGGGTTACAATACCATGTTCTGCCCGTGGGCACACATATGGCCATAATACAACCCTTTGCCTACTGTGGGAGTGTAGACACATTACTGCCATCTGCCTATCGTGTTGTAGGTGGTCTCATTACCATTCTCTGCCTTCATTACCTCCTTGTTTTGTGTGCCCATCCCATGTCTCCTGATGTGTTCACAGCATGTTCCCTTTTATACAGATTAATGCATGGGAGCTAAGTGTAGCCACTTCCAGAGGACAATTTGTCATTGACTGTAATGACACTGTATGCGTCTGGATGACATTGTCGGCTATAATTGTATTGTCATACTCACTTCACCAGAACAGTGTCTGCTAAAGCAAGACTGCAAGCCAAGGAAAGGAGCTTTGCCAATCAGGCGTATCAGTCTTTACTGCCAGATGGGCCTTCTGCTACTTTTAGGAATTCAAAATGTAATTATAATCCATAGTAAGACCCTCTGTCAAATGTAAACAGACAACGAAACATGTAGGCAGAAGCTGCTTCATCTTTTAGCAATCCCTCTTCCTTTACATCCTGATTTAGTGTGAGTGCTGGTTAGAAAAGTGCTGTCCAATGTGCTTTTCCAGTATTCTGACAATGAAGTCATGATATTTTCAGGCCTTCTATGATCTCTGGCTTTGATTCAGCATATCACAATCCTAGCAATATTTAATCATCTCTTGATCCGGTTGTTCCTCTGTGTGAGTATTCCATGCACAGATTGCTGTGATATTATTACTTCCATGGTCTACTGCACAGGCCTTATTGGCAATATATTTGTAGATTACAGCTGCTGGACCCCCTGTTTGAGAGGTGACAACACGTATTCCTGTGTCACATGTCACCGCAAAGTCATAGGTAGGAGAAGTTTGATAGCTGGTATGCCAAAGGTGATCAGCCACTGTATTGGATAATTAAACACTATTGCGGCATACAGATGCTGCTTTCCTAATACAATCCTTCATCTTTGCCTCATTTTGAAAAAATATATATTTTCAGCATCTGTAGGATTTTGCTGGCGTAGATATCCTCCAATCCTTGTAAGCTCTTCTCTTTTGTGCCATACGAAGCTGTAGTCAACGTCTTATTTTATTTCCCATTCTATCCTCCTCGTCTTAGTGACCTATGTGCCAACTTCCCTCCGCACGACTTTCCTCCCTCCCCCTCTATTTCCCCCCATCATGTGTTTTTAAACCACTTGTGCTCTCAAAACCTATTTGTGTCAAAAATCCCAAGGCGATTACATATTCTGCTAGGAAGGCCTGATGTGAAGAGGGAACAGTAATCCGTATGAATGAAGTATGTGCATGGGATATATATATATTTTTATGTGTATGGGGTATAAATGTCAAATAATGCATGTTTCAATAAGAGCAGTGTTTTGGGGCCATGTTCTCTCTGATGAAGAACCTTTTGTCATTAGAAACGTGCCAATGCTGTCTGAAATAGTATGCTTTACCGAAGTAAAGGGACTAGTGAAGAGGATAAGATAGTTACTCCAAGGTAGACTTTGGCTATGGATTTGATTTGAGACCCTCCTAGCAGCCATGGATATCAAAGTCCAAAGTTTTTTTTACGTTTCATGAACATTTTTGTTAATAATTAATATTAAACCTATTTTTCTGGATATTTTGAGAACACTTGTTAACTGCAGAGCCATCTAGTCTTATGTTTATTAATGCCTTAATTTATTTTATATGTCTGTTAGAAAATAACAGTATCAGAAGTTCAAAATTTATGTAAAAGAACTTGGACTTCCTGCTCACACAATTTATTGCTGAAGTATGTAATACGCGCTGAAAAAAAAAAAAGCAAATTTGAAATCAAAGCTGTATTCTGGTTGGCTGCTTGGTGGTGACCTCCATCCAAATCCAGCTCCAACTGGAATCATGAATAATAACGGTATCCCCAGACCACTGTACAACGCAGACTTCCTGTAGCAATAAAACTAAACGTAGGCATGTTCAGTAACTTTTACACTTGTTGGGGTTTCTCCAAATATGTTCTTTTATAAAAGTGGAACTTAAGTTGAAGCATTGCCATCTGCTTAATGCATTTTCAATTTTTGGCTTATTTGTATTATTTAAAAGATGCCTTTTCTATGATCGGTCAGTAGGCCGTCTGATCGACCTGATAGATTGCACTGCGGTACGACTATCCTGACCCTGATTTTACAGGTTTTGCAGTTGTGTTTATTGCCATTTTCCCTGTTCATTTTCTTATTTATTTGCATTGCATTTTCCTCGATGTGCCCCCCTTCTGTTTACATCTGTCTTGTTGTGAGTTATCGTCTCCATACCTTTCCCTCTGGGTTGGCGAGGACTCTTTTTTAACACTGGAGCTATGTTCTTTGCACAATAAGTATTCCATTATGGGGATGTTACATGGATCGTATTAAAATAGGGGGTTTCACCATAGTGTCTCCAAGATGCATATTTCACTAATTTACAGGATAACCACTAACAATGACCCCTGCACACTATTTTTCGTTTGTTTGTTTGTTTGTGTTTTCTCCCTTGTACTGATATTTTGGGGATTTTCTGCTACGACTGTCATCTAGAGTTCATCTCCGATACTCACAACTTCAACTTCCTTGTCCTGACAACTTTCTTGTTGTGCTCATTGGCCTTCTCCACACGTGCACCTAGGCACCATTAGAATGTAATGCCATTAATTAGACAGCAGGTGCCCGGGGCCTATGTGGTGAGCTGGTATTTTATACAGTGGTGCTCTGTTATGTCACTGCCAAGGCAGTGGGCACTCAGGACCTTGCTTACAATATGAGGGGCTTTTTATGCCCCTTCTTGACCTGGGTGCCTTATTGGCCATTAATTCCAGAGCAAGTGGCTGAATTATCTTTCTGTGAAAATGATAAGAATGCCTTAATATCCAGAAACCTCTGTATCCAGCTCCCCCTTATCCTGCCACTTTCCACTAGCCAGGTGGCAGAGAGGAGAAAGAAGTTGTCGTGCATGTCTTAGCGCCCTAAACACTGCTCTGTCTTGTGCCATAACCCTATGTCCCCTGTAGTTTATGTATGAATAAAACTTAATATTGTAAAGAAAAGGTACTAAATATATAGCATATCCTATAAATATATAAATATATACATACGTTCTTGTATATTCTATACAGACTGTAAAAAGGAACAGGTGTGGTTATAATGCCCAGTGCGGATGTACAATCCCCTTCCTTCAGGCTGTATATATTTCCCTGCATTCGGGGGGTCCGAGCCGAGGCGAAGGAGATCTTTTTACTTTTCTTTGGCTGCTGCACGAGAAGGAACAGTAAAGTATCAAAGTAAGCTCCTCACACTGGAAAATCATTTTTTAAATAGGTCTCAAATCTACAGATTGGGATAGAGCTTTTAGCCAAACCTTTGCATAATCCACGTCTTCAAGAACCCTAGATGATCGCCTAACTCACGGTTAAAATGGCTCTATCACCAGACATTTTCTTTACTTAAGTACATTTTAAAATGTTTTACTTTTCCCATCGGATATTAACATTTAACAGTATTTTGCCCTTTGTAGATGTGACCATTTTTCAGTAACGAGGTTGCATTGTGGAATTATATGATAATTGAAAAGGCTGCTGACTGCATGGGAGCTAGCAGCCAATTAGAATCTAGCATTTCCACCGTAGCTGACTGTATTCGTTCCCAATTAGAAGAGGAAACCGGGCTTAAAGGACCACTTCAATGTTGAAGAATCAGCGATGTTTACACTGAAGGGTTAAATACACTTCTTGTGGCTGCCTTCCTAACAGCCACTAGGGACGCTTTCACCTCCAGAAGCAAGTCAAATTCGGTCCTGCAATTAAATGCTGCTCATATCAACATGTGATTGGACGATCACAGCGATTGGCAGCGCATACATATCTCAGACCCAGTGCTTCTCAATGACAAGCTCGAAACGAGGTAAATATATTCAATTTCTATTTTACATCAGCAGAGTGGGTAGATAGATGTCAGAACAACGGAAGGGTACCTGCAGCCCCAGAAAAAAAAACTGGTGTTTTCATGAATCTAGCTTACCGTAATTTAAACTGCCTGATGAGATAGACTGGCCATAATAGTTCCGATTTCATTGCATAGCAATTTTAAAAAATATTATATTTATTTATTTGTACAAAGGAAACTTTTTAATCGGTTTTAAAAATGACCAAATTGTGCAAAGAATATTTCTGGTGACAGATCCTTTATAAAAAAATAAATAATGTATAATGTAACTTTTAATGTTACAATTCATTTTTCAGAATCTACTACAGTTTTGCTAAAGGTCTGGAATAATTCCTGGCAATAAAACATGTTATGCCTCTTTTCCTAAATTGTTCTGATGACCTGTCTGGGACCGAAAAGCACAATGGTAACATTTGGAGCTTTAAATTAATTCTCTTTTTTTCCCCTATTGTCTTTGGATGCGAACATACATATGAACAATACATGCACAGAGCAATTCAGTTTAATCAATAAACTAATTGCCTATTAACAAGTAGGACACATTTTAATAGAATTCTGAATGAAATATACACTTTGACATTGTAAACTGAATACAATATCTGATTATTTACTAAATTAGTATTTGCAGAGAAATTGGAAAAGAACTGCACGTTTTAGGTCTGCAAGGCCAAAGGGTAAATCTGTAAAAATAGCTATGTACTAAGTTTACAATTGTCTTTTTCCCAGTTCCCAGAATGCTTATAGTAGCTGATAGTTTTTGGATGTTGCAGTTTTTTTATATTTCATTTTCTATACAAAGCAGAATAGGACCGCTCACACTTGTGGTGTTTGTCATCCAAAGGACCAAATGATAAATACATACATATATAATTAGCAGAATATATTTATCACAATGTCCTATATACCTTATTTAGTTTTAGTGTGTTTTAACCCCTTAAGGACCAAACTTCTGGAATAAAAGGGAATCATGACGTGTCATGTGTCCTTAAGGGGTTAAATTGGGGATTGACCCTCTAATTTGGAGACAGTATATTAATCATACAAATGATATGCTTACTGCCTGTCTGTTTTGCAGTAATGGGCCCTCAATGTGTATCCAGTGTTTATTAGGTTCCAGACTGCGCATTAAAACTGCCGTCATCCTGTACTGATTGTACTTTTTAACACTATGCCTGCGTGTGTCCTATATCCCACTCTTATGGGCCGTTGTTTTATAACCTCATGGCGAGTCCTGAGAAGAGAAAGGATTTAATGTCTAGAATATTACAAGCTTTCATTGTTCATTGTCCCCACTTTATAACCACATGATCTTTCCTATCCAACGCTAAAAACAAAAAAGCCTGTTTGCATTTTGGAATGGCACTGAAGATTAAAAAGAAAAAAAACAAACATGCAATTTGTTGTGTCTTTTGTGTGCGTGTCCCTTCAGCTCGATCTTCTGTCTAGTTGTTTTTTTAGGAGTTGGGGAGATTTTGTTATTTTTTTGGTCACACAATGTTAAGTTTAATACACATTTTAATAGAGGGGACATGGTCTCCTAAAATGTAGATATCGACTGCTGTGGGAATTGACACTATTCAACAATTTTGCAGTGCTCTAACCACCAACCCATTGCTGCCAAGTAAAGAGAGACACTGACACGCCGCACAAGAAAACATGTTTAAGATACAATATTCTTACTCAGTAATACAATCTTAAGAACAAATCAATATTTTCATGTGTTACGCAATGCATTAAAATATACAAAGACTATTAAAGGGACACTGTAGTCACCAGAACAACTACAGCTTATTGAATTTGTTCTGGTGAGTAAAATCATTACATTCAGGCCTTTTGCTGTAAACACTGTCTTTTCAGAGAAAATGCAGTGTTTACATTACAGCCTAGTGATAACTTCACTGGCCACTCCTCAGATGGCTGTTAGAGATCCTTCCTGGGTCCTGGCTGCCTAAATGCATCCAAACATTCAGTATCTCCTCCCTCTGCATGCAGACACTGAACTTTCCTCATAGAGAGTCATTGATTCAATTCATCTCTATGAGAAGATGCTGATTGGCCAAGGCTGTGTATGAATTATGCTGGCTCTGCCCCCTATCTGCCTCTTTGACAGTCTCAGCCAATCCTATGGGGAAGCACTGTGATTGGATCAGGCTACCACTTCTGATAATGTCAGCAGACAGCTTGTTTTTCTGAGGCAAACAGCATGCAGATCTACAGCTTCAGGCTTGAATACAGTAAGATTATATTTATGGAGTTATGAGGGGCACAGGGGGGCTAGATAGTGGTTTTAACACTATGGAGTCAGGAATACATGTTTGTGTTCCTGACTCTATAGTGGTCCTTTAAGTGTAGGATGTTGCCTTGGCCTTGAGCTGTGTTAATGGATGGTCAAAGAATTACTCCGTTCAGATTGCTGTAAAGGACAACCTGTGGGTCTAACAACATGAACTAATAGTAAGTGCCAGGAGAATGAAGCATTATGGGTTTTAAAAGGGACCTCCAAAAGTCACCCAGGTCTCTCCATCTCATTGAAGTGGACTGGGTGCAGTGGTCATATCCTTTATCACCATTGATGTAAAACTTTGACGTTCACATTGCTGAGTTATATCCACCCCTATGGGCTGTCATACAGGATGGATGTGCTCAGAGCGCTTACCTCTACGAGGAGCATTGGATCTAGCCAACTATGGAAGAGGCAATGCCTACTACATGACTTTGTGGGCAACTCAGAGATAAGCAACGTCCTTGGAGCTGGAAAAGTAATCAATTTTTAATCCCCTAGATAGCTGGGGATAGGGACTCAAAAATGTTGAGAATACAGGTTTGTAATATTAACGCTTCAATGTTCCTTTAACATGAATATGGTGATGGGTGTGCTGGTAAGATGAGTCGGGCTTTGTTGTAAGAATATCCACAGAAATGCTGCTTCTGCATTAGTTGTAAGATTACTAGAAATTACACTCCTGCGCAAGTTGTGCCAGCTTTTCTGGGTACCAAAAATGGGACATGCGTCAATTTTGCCTCGGTTCTTTTGAATACAGCTTATTGTGTCATTCTTACAACACTTGTCACTTCTAAAATAGCACAGGTTACGACGCTGGTTTTTATAAGTTTACTTTTTTTTCTAGTTTTTAATCACATGATCAGTTTTTGATGCAAATATGTATGCACAACTGATGCAGGATTATAACATCATGGCCTGGTACCATTAACCCCTTAAGGACACATGACGTGTGACATGTCATGATTCCCTTTTATTCCAGAAATTTGGTCCTTAAGGGGTTAAAGCCCTACCTCCATGGGCGACCGTTTGTGGTTTTAGGTCTGTAAAACCCTGTTTTCCTACATATTTCATTGATTTTTCTGGTTTTGACCAGGCTTAGACTTTAACATGGATTTGTATCTCTTTGGCATCCATGACCCTCATTATTATTTTTTTTTATTTTTTTTTTGCGTTTCTTCAAGCAAGATTGGAGAAACAGAACCACAGAATGGACCAGTTTGCTAAGGACTTGCAAAGACTACTGGCTCATATTGCTCCACATATTGCTTACTAGCTCACTGGGAAAAGCCTTGGCATAGGCAAACCATTTGTAGGACACTAACTCGTTTCTGACTATAAGTTGTTCATTAAATAATTCCGCAAGGTTTTTGGACTCCTGCCCAGGCTACTCTTCCATTAAAGCAAGGCTCTAGGCTGCTAGTGTGTGCGTTCTAGGACAGTGTTTCCAAATTCATGTTCTGTGAGCACAAAACTGGGATTCCTCTGCAGATTTCTCCACATCTAAGATGGCTGCCAGTCCGCGCCGTTCCGGAAGTTGGAAACAGCAGAGATCTTATCCATGCCTGCCGCCAGCCATTTCAGACTCACTCTGTTGGTTGCGAGCATTGATACAGAACAGTCACGTGTAGAAAACCTCTCAATTTTTCTCTGTTTTGCCCTTTAGATAAGCGCCCAAAGTGGCATCTGAGGATGGGGTTCTTTATTCTCACGGTCAGACTGTGCTGGTTAAAAGGGTTTTGCTGAAAATATTTTTTTCCCCACACTTTTGCTCTAATTTACTTGGGTTGTTTGATTTTTTTTATTTTTTTTTTAATATAAAGTTTTATTTAAAAAGACATGCATATATACTGCTCCTAAGTAATATGGTGTCTACAGCTGTGCATTTTGCTGCAATACTGACCCAAAAATGCATGGGTGATTTACTTGCTTACTAAGAGCTGAGAACAAAACAGTAGTGTTTCTACTCATGCACTATTTTACAAAATCTGATCAATATTACTTCTAACAGTCAACTTGGACAAAAAAAGTCCGATGTTTCTCGTATTGCTTTCTTTGGTGATTTACCCAAAGTATGTCCTGAGTTGTCATGGCGGACAATCAAAGCACTTACTCAAGTACTAAAATCTGTTTATTTAGAGCTTGGAGAAGTTTCCTTTTTACCCCAATACAGAACCAAAATCCTGGTTACTTTACTTGCGTTTTCACAGCTAAAAACAAAACCGCATCTGTTGTATTCAAGTTCTGCAATTGTTTTTTGGGGGGTTTTTTTGAGGTTGAAAGTGTAGAGAAGGGTTCATGAACAAACAACCATGAATTTGGACAGCTGGTTAAAGAAGGAATTATGAAGAGAAATATTATTACTTCTAATTGTTCGACATTTGAAACTTCAAGAAAACAGGTCCTGTTTGAATCTACTGTTCCTCAAAGAGCAGAGACTAGTGACAAGTCGGTGAAAAATATTGAAAATCACACAATGTTGAATATAAGAAGACTAAACAATTATGAACAAAAAAATTAAAGCGCCAAAGAGGCTTTTTACAGAGTGATATATCACATAGAACTTACCAGAGAAAAACACACCATTGGGGAATCACTAAAAAAAAATAAAACACGTGCAAAAGAAAAAGTATTGTGTATTTTAAATGAAAAGTTGTCACTTTCCAACAACACTTTGTCGTCGTATTCATGATCTTGCTGAGGACATCCAGACAACTAATTTCTCAACTGCACCAATGTAATGGGTACTCACTGCAATTAGAGGAGTCCATAGATGTTGCAGGGCTTTCAGTTTTGTTGGTTTTAGGGAAGATATAATTTTGACAAATTGAAAAAGACCTGCTTCTATGTGAAACCACAAATGAGGACAAATGTGTAGATGTGTGTAATGGTTGGTGTGACGGACCAACTGGCACCCTGACCCGGGTACCTCTGTCAATCGCTGCTTTCTAGTACCTGCGAGCACCATAAGCACTGCACTGGAACACCATAACCACCGTAAACCCCACAAACCGCCACAGCTTGGTTGGGGTCTCACTGTCCTCCGCCCACCCTGGACCCAAGGCCAGGATCCAGTTGCCAGTGGGTAGACCTCTCCTAATCCAGAGAGCGTAGCAGGAAGAGCTCTTATAAGATCCAAGGAAGTATAGTGATTATAGCAATCCCCAGAGTGTGAATCCCCCAAACATGAGCCTAGACGTCATGAAGTGTAAAACGAATCTCACTTTAATGGTAGCCACAACTGGCCTTTTATGCAAGTTCCCATGCAAGGGCAACTCCCACCTTGTGGGGAACTACACTACAAAGTCACAGACCAATGGCAATAGAGTATAAATGTACGACACTCCCATATACAAACATACAATCCCTCCCCCCTGCCTGGGAGATAATTGAGTCAGATACTATATTAACTCCATTATCTCCAGGCAGCAAAATACATATATTTTTATAAAACCCCACAAATGTTTCATACCCTGATAGCCCTGATCTGGTTGACCAACATATCCAAAAATTACTCAGGTCAGTTCAGGGGTTCAAGAATTCTATGGAAGCCACATTTTGACCGACTGCACACATGGTCCCATGCCCAAAACAGTTCCAGAGAATCAGGTTGTGCGGTCGGTCTATTTTGAGGATACATAAAACAGTTCAAATACCAAACACATAACGGGAGTAGTCTCAGTGTATGTCTCTCGTTCAAGAGTTTATTCCTATCGAACACCGTTCGACTCCCGTTCGAATAGCCGAACATCCATGGAAGGTAAGTAGTTAGCAGTGTTCGTGCCTTCGACTGTCCAATTTGAGTTCCATGTATTTGACGACCAAACACCGCTCATTGTGCTCACGGCTTAAGATGGCCGCTTCTGGAGTTCCAGTTGTAACCATACAAGTCACAGTTTATTCCAGGGGCCATAGTCACAGGGCAGGATGCTGGCAAGTAGGCTCCTCCAGTAGCTCGTGGCAAACGTTTATATAAAAAGGGGAGTTTGTCACAGTTGGTAAAGTGTTGGGCATTTGGACACGAATAAGAAATGTAGCAAAAAATAGCATCAATTCTCACTGTGTTCTTCACAGACATGCAATGGTAGCCAAACATTGTTTCAATCTCCCTTAAAATGGTACTTGGTGACAAAGTGGTCCAGATTATTACTTTTATCAAAAGTCGACCATTACAGTTGTGATTACTTAAATATGGGTATCCACCACTCTTCCTGGATTTTGCATTCAGAGTGTGTTGACTATCATGATGGAAAGTCATTGTTAGAATGTTTGAATTGTGGCAAGAGTTGTTTGCATATCTCCAGGGTCATAAAAAGCGTTAGAACATCCAGCGTCATGTCACGGAATTAAACTCTGTGAAACAGCAGGAAGCGCCGCTAGTGACTGTCTGTTGACTGTCAACACTATAAGCATTGCAGTTTCCCGATGGGCTCGGCGGCAGACACCTGATGGTCAAGAGGTGCCTGCCGCCATTCCCAGTGCAAAGATCAGCCCCAAAGTGCTGGGATGGAGGGGGTTGCTAGGGAGAGGGAAGGTTTAGCTGTCACATACCTCAACTGCAGCAGGGATAGTGGAGTTTTGACAGTGGAATGGAGTCTACGAAGGACAATTATTTTTGTCCCGCCTATTTCGCGCCTTAATGACCTCCATTAGGTAACTATAGGGGCGGCCAGGTAGCCAATGACTTCCTATCATTCAATTTCCCATAGTTTAACTTTTTGGACATCACCCATTAATCCTTAGACAATTTGCTATTTCCTTATCACACCAGGATTTTTTGCCATTATTTGTGTGCCACGTATTCTGCCAATCACACACAGCAGGTTGCTAACAGCCTGCAAAGGTTGGAACATTCTTCACTATCTGTTTATTTATTGTGGCCTTTCTGAGTCTGCATGCCAGTCTTCTGGCCTTAGGTGAGCCCTTTGTCTGCCTATACTAACTCCTTTCCATAATTTGCCGGTGTTTGTGTTTACTAAGATCATCTTGGAAGACTCACAGTTGCAGTCATCTGATTAGCAATCCATGATAAATGCTCCTGTCACAGCTATAGTGGAGAGGGCTCTGTGAAAAGTCTTTTCCCAGACTACGCAACTTTCTCAAACAAGGAGACTGGTTTACTCGCCTTAGTCTCAAGGATGTTTATCTTTCCATCCAACGGGCCAGCATTTTCTATGTTTCCATTGGCACCGTCTTCCGTGACCATTTACTTGCCTTCCTTTCAGGGTCAGTATATCTCCATGGTCTTTTACCAAACTCCTCAAGACGGTTGTGGTGTACCTGCAGGCACAGGGTTTTCATTGTATCAACTGTTTGGATGATATTTCCATTCTGATGATCGCCCTGTTTTAGCTGAGTCAACCATGTTTTCTGGTTCATCTGGAGCTCTTATGTAAGAATCCCCTTCTGCTTCCCAGCCCTCATCACAGATCCCAAGGGGAATCCTCATCCGCTAGTTATAAAGCATAGTCTATATCTAGTGGCCTGGACTCTGTCTGGGGTTCCTGAAACGTCAAACAAAATTTGGCAAGAGGCTAAAGTCATGTGTTGTGTATGTAGGGGGACGTGGCAAGTGTGCGCATAGGAACTGTAGTGTATGTGTGTGTCTAGTGTGCACATAGAGGATGCATAGCATGTATATGGAATGTACTATGTTTGTCAGGAATGTTGTGCTTGTGAGGTGTGCAGTGTGCGTGTGAATGTGTTGGACCTGTATCGGTTGGGGGAGGATGAGAGAGGAGCAATTGAATAAATAAAAAAATATTTTTATATTTTAAATTATAAAATTAAAAATAAGCTTTATTTCCCCTCTCCATTTTTCTTACCTTTGGGCAGGGAGGGGGGACATTGAAAGCCCGGTGGAGTCTGTTGTCTAAAGATTTGCAACTCTGCCAGGCGCAGGCCAAAATTCCTCTTGCGAGCTCTGGCACTGCTCTGTGAGATTCGTGGATTCAAGAAATGAAAGATGTTATTTTTTTGCAAAGGTCTCCTGGTGGCTGAAAAGGTGCTGTGATTCCTTTACTGCCATCGTCTCTGCTGTTCTTAATTTTCTATGTTCCCATTTTTTCTTTAGGTCATTCCTAACGCTCCATTAATGTTATTTGTTCAGCCATCCCAATGGCCCATGTTCCGGTTCATGGAATTCCTGTTGGTAAGGATCCTCTTAGCTGTCGCCTTATGTGGTATTCGCTTTCCACATCCTCCAGACATGAAATATGTTTTTACGGAATTGGCCTGATAATGACAATTGCTCTTTTTGTCATTTGTCAACTAACTTTATTTTGCTTTTGTGTTTAGTTCCCCTTTGTTGGACAAAGATGTCTGGGCCTTTGATGTGTGATGCATTCTGCTTTTCCCCTGAGGGGGTCACATTTCAGATTTTGTGTCGTACCAAGGCTGATACTTCGGTACTTTACCCATTCTTATTCGTTCAGACTTATGCGTCGTTTCTGCTCTCCATCACTATATGCCAGCTACGACGTCCCTGCATTTTTGACCAGTTGGGTCAGTTGTTATTGCTTTGTATTCCATTTCAGATTTCTCTCACGTGTCTGTTTCTTCCAGTTTTACCCATGCAAAGGATGCCCCTGCAGGATCTTCTTAATCTCTGGAATCTCTTGTTGGGTTCATTGGCTCTATATTAGTTTACAGGACATCTGAGGCATATTAAGTTCTACATCTCGTTATCATTAAACCAATTTTTCCATTATGAAAGAAGAGGCGTTTAAGGCCTCTGTTCATTCTAAACATGTACTTTATTATTTCCATGTATTTTCTTTGCTGCTGTTTGGAGTTAGTAAAGGAAGATAATTAAAATGTTTGACTACTGTCTTTATTAAAGGGACACTATAGTCACCTGAACAACTACAGCTTAATGTAGTTGTTCAGGTGAGATCTATAGCTCCCTGCAGGCAATCTAATGTAAACACTGTATTATCAGACAAAATACAGTGTTTGGATTGATAGGAATACCTCCAGTGGCCGTCACTCAGACGGCCACCAGAGGGACTTCCTATCATGTAGGGCCCTAAAAAGGCCTTGTACACATCAGATGTATTAGAATATTAAAATTAGTGAGATTGGGACTATGAGATTGGGGGCTATGATGTCTCTTACAAAAATGCTTTTTTATAACCTTACATCACTTTTGCTAACAATACTTAGCAGTAATCACTTTGACATTTCTTTAATTTGATTGGGTATGTAGTTTTGTTTTTGTATCGGATGAGATATTAGGTTCTTATTTCCTAATGTTATAATAGGAAGAATCCTGCAATACTTTTAGGACATATCGGTAGAAGTCAGTAGCAATACATTAGATGTTTGTGATTATAACAGGGGGACTGGGGCATACGTTTCTAAAGTAAGTCATTATTATCATGGGTGAGATAGCTTAGCAAGCGCTATCAACTTATAATCAAGCTTGAGTGGAGGGATTAGTGGGAGTCTGGTTTAATGGAGGATTTTATTATAGGTGACTATAGTGTCCCTTTAATAAAGACAGTAGTATATACACACATATATATTACTTATTTATATAACCAGTTTGAGGCTACTTATTGCAACTCGTCCCTTAATAATGACATTTGTATCAGTGTCACATTTAGCTGCTCTTACGGGTTACTGTAAGCATTTCACTTTTTACACCATAGAGTCCCACTCACGGACACACTTATATTTTAGGGGCGGCTGTTCTCATTATATTAATAAAGATTACGTGATTTTCTTTGTTAAATTCAACTGGATGTCGAACATGGTACGCCTATAGGGGGATTGGTTTTTGCGTTGGATGCACTGGATTAGGACGTTTCAGAGGCTTTCTGTAATTTGTCTTCGATAATATGAACTAGAAACATAGCACACGTCTAAATTGTCAGGATTATTATTCACTGAAGTGTGTATTGTTGGTAAATCAAAATGCACATTCACAGTGAATTTTAAATACAGGGTTGACAATGGTGTATATTTTTAAGAAGGTGTATTTGGTTAGATGAGATGTGCAGTAGGTTCCAAGAAAAAAAGCGGCAAGTGTGCACTACACACGAAGAGTCCTGGTTGTTCCATAATCGTCATTGAGTAAACTTTGACCCTGTACCTCACAGTCAGCAGATACATTCCAGCCAATTAGCAGCAGATCCTCCCTCCCAGACCCTCCCACCACCTGGACAGCTCACTAAGAATGCAGCTTCAAAATGGATGCTGTCCAGGAGGTGGGAGGGTCTGGGAGGGAGGGTCTGCTGCTGATTGGCTGGAATGTGTCTGCTTACTGTGAGGTACAGGGTCAAAGTTTACTCAATGATCTGTTTGCGGTGAACCATTCGGCGAACAGTTCGGGACATCACTAATCTCATAGTTGATTGTTAAACCCCAACCAGGTGAAACTCCCAATCAAAGTTTGGGGGTGTATGTGTCGGGAATGGCTATGATCTCAGGACTGACTATTTCTACACATTAACCCTTGCTTTATTTTACTCCTAACTGGTCAAACATCCTCCACCTTTATCAGTAGTAGATACGTATAAATAGGCCTCCCACTGTTTAGTAGATATACCCACAATGAATACATAAATACATGTTCATGCTTGTAGTCACTGCACAGGATTCAGAATGAAGGCTGCTCTGATCTGAGGTCTGTCAGTAGAATGAGCAAACATTCAAAACAGTCCGAAATAAGCATCAGGGACTGAGGAAACATTCAAAACAGACAGTCCAAAATGAGAATCAAGGGACTGAGGAAACATTCAAAACAGACAGTCCAAAATGAGAATCAGGGACTGAGGAAACATTCAAAACAGTCTGAAATGAGAATCAGGGACTGAGGAAACATTCAAAACAGACAGTCCAAAATGAGAATCAGGGACTGAGGAAACATTCAAAACGGACAGTCCGACATGAGAATCAGGGACAGAGGAAACATTTAAAACGGACAGTCCGAAATGAGAGTCAGGGACAGAAGAAACATTCAAAACGGACAGTCCGACATGAGAATCAGAGACTGAGGAAACATTCAAAACAGTCTGAAATAAGAATCGGGGACTGAGGAAACATTCAAAACAGAGAGTCTTTAATGAGAATCAGAGACTGAGGAAACATTCAAAACGGACAGTCCGACATGAGAATCAGAGACAGAGGAAACATTTAAAAAGGAACAGTCCGAATGCACTTTGGCTTTATTGCTTCTTTTATACACATTTCCCCACAAGGTTACCACCCACGTGGACCTTGTTGGGCACTGAAAACACAAACGTAACAACCAATCATATACAGACACACAGTTAAACACTCCCATTCATTACAGTAAATTCCTCCCCTCTGCTTGGGAGATAATTGGGCTAATTACTGTATCAGCTCAATTATCTACAAGCGAAAAATACTCTTTTTACACAATTTCTATAACTAAAATTATACATCACATTCACATAAAACTTAAATTTTCTGAACCAGTATACTTAGGGAACAAACATATCCAAAAATCATGCGAATCCGTTCAGCCGTTCGGGAGTTAGCTGGAAGTCACTACAATTCAAATACCGTTCAAATGCACAAACGGTGTCGTTTGTGCAAATCTGCAACGTTACTGTGGTGTTCGTATTGTCGAACACTGTTCGACTCCATTCAAAGTGTGAGTTCCAAAGAAGGTAAAACTTCAGCAGTGTTCGTGCTGTCAAGTATCCGATTTTAGTTCCACGAACTCGACGGCAAAACATTGCTGACCGCGTTCGGCTAAATTAAAATGGCCGCCGCCACGTGTTCATTTGTCGAATGGCCGCCACTTCGACTACTTTGGCACTTTGGCCATATCCGAAGTGCCAGTTCAAAAGTGCAGCTCCTTTCCAAAATGATTTAAAGGGCCAGAAACAGTCTTGTAAAAGCCAATAAGCCCAAATAGTGTTTTTAACTGGCAATACCTCCCAGGGGCCATAGTCACAAGGCAAGAGGCTGGCAAGCAGGCCTCTCCAAGAACAAGTGGCGACTGATGAGTCATAGAAGGAGCCTCCTTCATCATGGGAACAAGTACCAGTTGTGTGAATGCTACCTTCTTGTTCACCATCACACCCATTAACAGTTTAAATTATATGCTTTCCTGAAGAAGTGTGTTTTCAAAGATTTTTTTTGAAGGAGTGGAGACTGGGTGGAAATCTAACGGAGAAGGGAACGGAGTTCAACAGAAAAGGTGCAGCCCTGGAGAAGTCTTGGAGACGGGCATCAGATGTGGGAGTACGGACAGAGGATAGACGTAGGTCTTCGGCACAGTGCAGGGGCCTCAACAGGACATACTTTTGTATTGGGGAGGGATAGGTAGGTTAGAGCAGCATTATGTAGGGACTTGTAAGCAAGCACCAGAATCTTAAATTGAGCCCTATATCTAACTGGAAGCCAATGTAGGGACTGACAGAGGGGGGAGGTGTGGGCGGACAGGAAAATGAGCCTCGCCGCTGCATTCATTATGGATTGCAGAGGTGCAATCTGTGAACACATAAGACCACTGAGAAGGGGATTGCAGTAGTTAAGCCGAGAAAGAACAACGGCATGGACCAGCACCTTAGTCGTGTCTGGTGTTAAATAGGGGCAGATGCAAGCTATGTTTTTGAGATGGAAGCGGCAGGATTTGGTGATCGACTGGACATGAGGGGTGAAGGAGAGGTTGGAGTCAAAGAGAACACCTAGGCAACAAGCCTGTAAGGTAGAGGCGATGGTGGCACTTGAGGGAGGAAAGACCAGAAGTTCTGTTTTGGACAGGTTGAGTTTAAGTAGGTGAGCAGCCATCCAGTTGGAAATTACAGAGAGGCAGTCAGAGACACGAGTCAATATGAGCGGAGAGAGATCAGGAAAGGACAGGAAGATTTGCGTGTCATCTGCATATAAATGATAATGGAAGCCAAAGGAGCTGATGAGTTTACCAGTATAGATGGAGAACAGTGCCAACAGAGAGGTGTTGGGGAGAAGAGGCAGAACAAGAGAAATAAAAACTGAAGAAGTGCTAGGAGAGGTAGGAAGAGCACCAGGAGAGAGCAGTATCTCGTAGACTGTGTGTAATGACATAAAGGGGTGCTGCCCTGGAGCAGCACTGTCCCTTTAAATGTGGGAACCACTATAGCAAAGAAATAAATGTCAAGACACAAATGAAATATGTTAAATCAAGAAATATATATTTACAGGGAACCAAAGCAGAAAGTAAAACAAAATATATACACTGTAAATCAA